TCTAAAGAGTAAATGGGATTAGTCTTTCACTTTGCTCATTTTGGCACTTTCTAAGATATTACTTGTTTACTAATTTATGTTCTGTTAATGACAGCAGATGTGGAGGTTCTTTTAATTCTTTCATGTAACCTGGGAAAATGCTTTTGTTCAGTGGGAATGATATATAAGGAGGGTTTCCCAAATCCGCAAAGCTTTTATTTGGACTGGTTATTTGATCATGCAAAGTACATCAGAATTAGAATGTTTCCATTTCACTCTCTTTTCTAGAGAAAATAGGAAAATTGAGCAAGTGAGAGAGTTAGCTTTAAAGTATAGTTACAGGAGTCAGCAAGATGGCTCAGTGGTAAAGGCGTTTGCCCCACAAGCCTGACAGCCTGCATTTGATTCCTAGATATAGTGGTGGAAGGAGAGACCCAGACTCTTGAAACCATCTCTACATGTGTACTCCCTCCAAAACAATGAAATGGGTTAATTATGAATATGAAATCATCCTGTAGAATTTTGGTATTGAAATACAATGAACTCTGAATCCTGGAAGGAGTAGTGTTAAGGGAGAATATACATTATATTTGGAAAATGTCTTAACTTAGCTATTTAAATTTAAGTTGTAAGAGAATGATACTGATCATATGGCCCAAGTTGATTTCTACAGGTGTGCTCTATGCCTGTGACAAGTGATATTGTCATTATTGAGCATCTTGATGTATTAAGATTCTTCATCCTATTTGGACCACATCTACCAATGTGAATTCTCATTGGTCTCATTCAGAGGGACAATATAGAGCAAGTCTGATCCATTTGACAGGATGCTGTAAGTTCTCCTTAAACACTTTAAATTACGTTTATTCATTCTGTGTACTGTGTGTTCTCACACATGTGTAGATCAGAGGGCAACCTCAGGAGTTAATTTTCTCCTTCCATCTTTACGTCCTGGCAAGTGCCTTTTGCTGTTGAGCCATGCTATTGGCCCTATAAGTTCTTAAAACTTGTCTGATCTTTGAATTAGTTGTCTAGCCAATCTAACCAAATCAGGGAGGAGGAGGAGGAGGAGGAGGAGGAGGAGGAGGAGGAGGAGGAGGAGGAGGAGGAGGAGGAGGAGGAGGAGGAGGAGGAGGAGGAGGAGGAGGAGGAGGAGGAGGAGGAGGAGGAGGAGGAGGAGGAGGAGGAGGAGGAGGAGGAGGAGGAGGAGGAGGAGGAGGAGGAGGAGGAGGAGGAGGAGGAGGAGGAGGAGAAGAAATGAAAGGAAGGAAAAGAAACAAGTATTGAAAATCAGGGGGGAAATGTGTAGGGAGGAAAATAGCACCTACCCAATGTTGCAATGTTGACCTCTGTCTGGCTTCTGCACATACACACACACTTTTATTTATTTATTTTTTAGTTTTTCAGACAGGTTTCTCTGTATAGCCCTGGAACTTACAGATCTGCATGCCTCTGTCTCTGGAGTGCATATTAAAGGCATATGCAACCATCCCTAGCTAAAATACTTCTTTTAAATAAAAATTCTGCATTAGGTTGGGAAAATACTGACTATTGTCACGGACCTTGGTGAGTTTTGATTTTCTTTGGCTAAGAGTTAATTGATACTTTTACTCTGAAAAACTGCTTTTCTTAAAATCCCAGCAGTTGGGAGATGTAGACAGCAGGGCCACTGCAAGCTTGATATGAATCTGGGTTAATAGTGAGTACCATGCCAGCCAGTACTACATGGCAAGGTCTTGTCTCAGAAAACTACACTATGTAAATAAATAATAATTAAAGCTCAATACCTCTGTGTCTTCATGGGTTGTATCCTTGCCCGCTTTTAGTAGTAGTAGTAGTTTATTCTGAGTTTATCTTACAGTTTCTGGATATCAGAGGATTATATTGAGCTGGACATGGCAGCACATTCCAGTACTTTGGAGCCTGAGGCAGAACTGTCAGGAGTTCTAGGCTAGTATGTGTATAACAGCAAACACAACAAAAAAACTAAGCTGAGCAGCAGGAAGGCAAAGCCAGGTGTTGGTTTATTTGTGGTGTGCTTTGTACAGCAGTTTAGATTCCTCTCTTTAGTTCTTATTTTGATGCAGGTGTTTGTATGCACCTTTTGTAGTGATTACTGTTTTCGTCTAGTTTTTACTTAAATCTTGTTGTCTCAGCATTTTATAGTTATTCAAATATAAAAGACCGACCTTAATATCTTTTGTCCCTACAGAGAAATATATTTTTTCTTTACTTGTTTTTATTATTATTATCATCATCATCATCATCATCATCATCATTATTTTATTCATTGTCTCACTTTGTAGCCCTAACTGTCTTGGAACTCATTATGTAGACCAGGCTAGTCTGAACTCACAGATCTGCCTGACTCTGTCTCCTGAGAGCTGGGACTAAAAGTGTGCACCACTATACCTGGCTATCTTCGTTGAGGTTTCTATTGCTGTGAAGAGACACCATGACCATATTAACTCTTATAAAGAAAAGCATTTAATTGGGGTTGACCTACAGTTGAGAGGTTACTCCATTGTCATCATGGTTGGGAGGATGGTGGCATGCAGGCAGACATGGTTCTGGAAAGCTTACTGAGAGTTCTACTTCTGAAATCGGTAGGCAGCAGGGAGAGAGAGAAATGGGCTTGACTTAAGCTTCTCACACCTCAAAGCATACCCACAGTGACACACTTCCTCCAACAAGGCTACATCTACTCCAACAAGATCACACCTCCTAATAGCGCCATTCCGCATGAGCCTGTGGTGCCATTTTCATTCAAACCAGCATGCTGGCTTTCTTATTTTTTCTAATTAGTGTAACTTCTAAGTGCTCTTTAAGACCTTTTGAAGGTACATAGACTTTGATGTAGTGCTTGTTTATTGGTTGTTTCAAGCAGAAGAGGTGCTCTATTTTAAATCTAATTAAAATGTAATGCCAATGGTAATTTTTTGATATTTATTTATTTGCATGCATGCCTGTGTGTATGTTTGTGTGTGTTGTGGACACGTGTGTGCCATTGTGGGCATGTGGAGGTCAGAGGGCAACTTGTAGGAGTCGATTTTCTCCTCCCACCCTGTGGGTTCTGGGGAGGGAACTTGTCTTTACCTGTTGAACCATCTGAATGACCTCAGTCCTAAGTTGTTTTTGAACTACAGTTGTCAGTATGTTAGGGGACACATGTGCAAAATATTTTGCTAAAAATTTTACATGTTATGTAGTTCTTGTTGTAAGAAAGGTAGTCTTAGTAGCAACCTTATGAACTCGATTTTCATTCTCATTATGCCAGTAAGGAATTTAATACAGGAAGATTAAATAAGCAGGGGCAAGCAGAACTGAGCCTGCAGCCCAGACATTCTGACTTTTTGAGCCTGCATCTTTAGCTAGTACATCTATTACTATATGCTTTTTGATAAAAAGAGTTATTAGAAGATCTGTTTGCTATTGAGACTGCTGAAACCCCTTCAGTACACATAGACAGTAGTCATTTTTTCCTTCTATATTTTCAAAGTATCTTAAATCTGATTTAAAATGCAAAATCACTAGGAGCTTTTAATCTGGGCCTTGTAGTAGAATGGTTTGGGGAGGGTTATTACACCATTCATTCCTAGCTGTTTTGAGAATATCTTCTGTAAAGGCAATGGAGACATATGGTACCTAGAGCAGAGTAGGCAATACCGTCTACATCTGTGTTTGTGTGTATAGCTTATTTGAAATTAGTTATGGCCAAGTACAAATCTTTAAAAGTACACATTTTTGTTTTTGTTGTTTCTGTCTTTAGGTTTAAGTCAGAAGTGTTCAGAGGACCCCAGGAGCATTCTGAGAGTCTCTCCCATGCCAGTTTTTTTGAGTCAGGGTCTCATAGCTCAGTTGACCTCAAACTCTTAATCCTCCTGTCTTACCATCGTGCTGGGATTTTTTTAAAAAAAGATTTTATACAGTGTTCTACCCACATGTTTGCCTGCAGGCTGGAAGAGGGCACATGGTTGTGAGCCACCAAGTGGTTGCTGGGAATTGAACTCATGACCTCTGGAAGAGCAGCCAGTAAGTACTCTTAACACCTGAGCCGTCTCTCCAGTCCCAGTGCTGGGATTTTGAGGCAGCAGACTTGCTTCTGAGATTCTCTGAAAAGGTTTGTGAGGTTGAAACCACTCTATAAGATAGTGTTTGTAAGGATGCAGTGGCACTTTCCAGAACCTCCATGGCATGCTCTCTCAGCATGTCTATAATCCCAGCACTTGGGAGGCAGAGTCAGGAGAATCAGAAGTTCAAAGTCATCCTCAGCTACATTCTGAGTTCTAGGCCAGCCTGGCCTAAATGAGACCCTTTCTCAAGAAATCTGAAAAAAAAATACGCAAAAATGAAAAGCAATGATTGTCACTCGTTTTACTAAACTTTATTTTTGAAAACATATCTTAAGTAATGTATGTTATTATATAATGGGTATAATAATTGCTTTATGATAAATCTTTGGAAATTCTTAATTTTAATTCTGAATTCAGATATGTATATATGGTCAGTAGTCAGTGTATGTAAACAGAAGCTTTATTATTATTATTATTATTATTTTTGATCCTCACACTGTAAAAAGGAGTCATTATGTTGAAAAGTACTTGTTCAGATTAGTTGTATAATATTAAAACAGATCTTGGGCTAGGTAGATGACCTCGTAGGCAAGAGTGCTTTCTCTACAATCTTGACCATCTAAACTTGAATTCCTCCTATGCACATGAAAATCTGGGTGTGTAGCTACTTCCTGTAGTCTCAGCATTGGGAGATAGAAGCAGGTGGGTCCAAAGAGCTTGCTGACCAGCCCACCTAGCACAAGGGCAGTCAGCGAGAGGTTGTCTCGAGGGAGCAGGTGGAGCAATAAGGAAGACACTTGCTGTCCTCCACTGGGTCTGTGCACATGCAGACTCATGTAATGCATACACACCCTCAGTAGTGCTTGATCTAGGAGTAAAAATCTAGAGCTGAGGAAATGAACAGTTTTTATTACTTACCATGTATCATGTTTTCAATTGTATAAGCAGGAGACTGGAACCCACAGAACGGCCTCTCCAGATTGTTTACGATTACTTGTCCAGGCTAGGATTTGAAGATCCTGTGCGTATACAGGAGGAGGCTACAAACACTGACCTCAGCTGCATGATTCGATTTTACGGTGGTAAGGATTTATCAGTAGCTTTGTGAGCATGTTAACTACTTTAAACTGATTATTTGTATCTTTATTCTCTGTTTGCTAGAAGTATTTGATATGAAAAGTTATTTTTAGATCAGTTAAATGTAGCTAGAAACAACAAAAAGTCAGGGATTTAAGGAAGATCTTTAAAAAGTAGCAATATGTTTTGGCTGTGGTGGCGCACGCCTTTAATCTCAGCATTTGGGAAGCAGAGGCAGGTGGATTTCTGAGTTCAAGGCCAGCTTGCTCTACAGAGTGAGTTCCAGGACAGCCAGGGTTACACAGAGAAATCCTGTCTTGAAAAGTAGACAGGAAAAAAAAAGCAAAATATTAGTAAAACTGTCTTTCCTTTTAATGTTTATTTTTTCAGACTTACTGCAACTATTTTTTATAGCATTGCCAGGTTATGCTTTATTTACGATATTAAAGATTTATTTGTGTGTGTGTGTGTATACGTACATGTGTCTGTGGTGCCTTAGTGATCAGGAAAAGTGTTGGATAGGCAATTTTGTGTTTTTTTTTAACAAACTGAAGTAGTGTATTCCTTTCAGTTAATTGAAAAAAGGAAGTTACAAACAGTATTCACAGAGTAGGAAAGCAATCCATATAGGTACATATTCTTGAGAGACATGAGAGTGGATGAGTGAATGAGTAAGTGCCAGAAGAGAGAAATGCAAATAAAATCCTTTGGTGGTTTGTGGAGGGACAATAGTTGATAGCTTGAAGTAAACTCTGAGAAAAATTAGGACCAATTTGAAGATTAAACCATCTATTGATACAAAACTCACTTTTGAAAACCCAGACTGAGGGCTGGAGAAATGGGCAGAGGCTAAGGGCGTGTGCTGTTTTCACAGAGGACTTAACTGTGGTTAGCAGCACATGTGTACAGCTCCAGGGAATCTGTCATCCTCTGTAGCCCTTGTGGGCACGGTACTCAAATACACATACCCAGATACATACAATGAAATTAAGAAAAAAAAGACAAAAATCTCCCAGTTGAAATGATAGCATGCCCCTTAATTGACTGGGATTGAACTGGGTTCTTCGTGCAGTCAGTGTTTTTATTCCAGAATGAAAGCAGAACCTTAAAATGCCTTAGAATTTCTTTCTTTTCTTTTTCATTTACTTTTTATTATTCTTTGTGTCTTTCACATTCTGCTTCCAATCCCACCCCAGTATAAAACAAAATTAAAAAAAAAAAGACAGGGAAAAAAAGAAAGAAAAGAAAAAGGGAAAAAGGCGAAAAATCTCGTGGAAGCTGTAGTGTGACACAGTGAGTCTCACAGTAAACCCCTTTATCTATATATTTTTTATTTTTAAAATTGGCTATATAACAAATTGCCTCAAAACATAATAATGCCTAATGTATATTTTGTAGTTTCTCTGGGGTGGAAATATAGGAGCAGTTTTAGCTGGATGGCTCAAGTTTGAGTCTCATAAGACAGTCATCTGGTGCTTGATTCACTTTTTTAAACTTATTTTTATTTTACATGTATGTACATGTGCCATCTGTATGCCTGGTGCCCTGTGAGTCTATTAGAGGCAGTAGGAACCCCTAGATTTGGAGTTACAGATGATAGTGAGTTACCTGAACAGCAACTTGAGTCATCTTTCCAACCCAATTTACTTAAAATTTTTTGTATTACATTTATGTATGTATGTATGAATGTTTGTGCATGTGTACACTTGATGCACACATGCAGGTATGCATGGTGTTCATGGGGAGGTCAAAGGTCAACCTGTGAGAGACAGTTTTTTTCCTGCCACCTTATGGGTCTTGGGGATTGAACTCAGGTTGCAGACAGCTTTATCCTCAGGTTGTCTCCCCAGCCTGAGGATTAACTGTTTAGTGTGGCTTAAAGGCTGTGGTTAGAGCCTTGGTTCCTTACTGACCATTGTTGGACACTTTAGTTTCTTGTTGTGTACACTTTCCATGGACTGCTTAATTGTGCCTACATTATGGTGAAACATGACTCCCACCTACACCATGTATACACACACGCAGGCCTCAGTATCCTTTTTGACAAATTAACATCACTTTTACCATTTTCTGTTTATTGAGGCTGGAGAGATAGCTTATCTGTTAAGAATGCATACTGCTCTTCTAGAGGACAGGTTCCAATTACCCATGCCAGGTAAATCAAAACCACCTGTAACTAACTCCAGCGCAGGGTATCAGATACCCTCCTCTGGCCTCTGGGTACCTATACTCACTGCACACACACACACACACACACACACACACACACTCACACATATACACACACACACACTCACACACGCAAGCACGAACACACACATATAATTTTAAAAAGAGAGAGAAATGGGGGCTGGAATGTCTTAGTGGTTAAGAGCACTGGCTGCTCTTCCAAAGGACCCAGGTTCAATTCCCAGCACCCAAAGGGCAGCTTACAACCATCACAACTCCAATTCCAGGAATTCAATACTCACACAGACCTGCATGCAGACAGAACACCAATACATACAAAATAAAGGATAATAATCAATAAAAAATGAAATCTTAAAAAAAAGCAAAAAGCAAAAAAACAACCAAAAGCTGGGTCATTAACCACAGCCTGCATTACAGAAGGGGCAGGGGAAGGGAATTAGTTCCACCTTTGAAGGAAAGAGTGTCAGAGAATGTAGACCGTATCATAAGACTATCAAGAAAAGAATGTGTCCTTTTCTCAGTTCCTGACTCCAAAGACATGCACAGTAAACAGAAAGAGAGGAAACGTCTTAAGTGTTATCTGTGAGCAAAGTGCTAAGTAATGAGCTTTAAATACTTCATGGTAAAGTTGTTGGTTGAGTCAGCTTACATAGAGTACAGTCATTGAGGCCAAGGTCCTGAGGGCCTAAGTTCAAACCAGTTAACCTTCTTGTGTTCCCTAGCTGCAAAGATAGCCAGTACAAAGGCTGTGGAATAGTTAAGGAGATAGCTCATGGTAGAGTGCTTGCCTAGCTTGTGGGGAGCCCTGGGTTTTATTCCCAGTACTGTGGGGGTAGGTAGGGGTGGCAGCTTGGGAATAAATACATTTTTCATCACTGAAGTTGAGTGGCTGGCGTGATCAGCCATGAGGATTAGAAGTACATGAATTTATCCCTTTATATGAGAAGAAATGGAATCTCAAGGATGTGATTTGCTAGAGACGTTACCATTGTAGATGAACAGCACAGGATGCCTTTCTTCACTATGGCATCTGCCTACTTTCATATAAAGAACATAAATGCAAGTGAGAAGCCATACACAAGAACCCTGATTAGTTCCTGCTGTTGTGATGTGACACCTGTCAGAAGGGACGATGAGTGCCACTTCTATGTCTTCTTCTGCTCCTTAGTGCTGTGCTCCTCTTCTGAGGGCTAGGATGACAATAATCAGAACAGTATTTGAAGTCAGACGTCAAAAGTGGCAGGTTTCCCATCATCCTGACTTTCTGAATAACAGTATTGATCTCTGGCTACCCAGAACGCCCAGCTAAGCAGAGTTAGATGTTACATTTGAGCCATTGTATTCTGTTTGTTGCAGTAATTTAACCTGTATTTGTATAGGATTTATGCATTATAAATGACAAAAACTATAGAGAACCAGGAGATGACTGTTAGGGAGAGAGACTGACTTCTAGAGTGCAGGAGGAAAACACTAGTCATAGGAGTAGAAGTTTTGAATCATTTCAGACAAACATTTTGAAGTTTGACTAAATGTTCCTGAATTACACAAATGTGTTACCATTACTCACTTTGTTCAGCAGAGACTGAGAGTGCCTGTTTTTTCTGTATCTTTCAATATCAAGTAACATTGTTAAAAATTAATCTTTTCATCAAATTGCAGAAGGCATACTGCTTCCTTCGGGTTAATTTGCACATCTGAAACTTGTTTGTTAAAATTATAGAGTCCTGGGGCTGGAGAGCTGGCTCAGTAGTTAAGAGTGGACTCTGCTCTTGGAGAGCTCCAGAGTTCAGCACCCACTCGCAGGTGGCTCACAGCTGCTGCTTCTAGGGAGAACTGATACCTCTAATCTCTGCAGCCATGTTTGTCCATGTGCATGCGCATATGAGCACATATACGATTTCAAAAATAATAAAAATAAACTTTAAAATGTAGAAGTGGTCTCTAGGAAAACACCCCACTGCACTAATGTATTGCTTTTGCATTCTCTATTTTTACTTATTTTATATGCATTTTTTATATTTATGATTATTGCGTTCAAATTTACCTTTCAGAAAATCATGTTTAATTACACAAATAAAATATAAATATGTCATTATCTGTATTTAATTTTTTCGCATTTAGTTCCCAAGCTCATCAACTGTTTTATCAATAGTCTGTATTGTCAGTTTAGTATGTATCTCTTCGTTTTAGTGTTGGTAAACACCTAGCCGTGAATGTTGAGCAGGTAGTAGAAGCTTAGGAAATGTAGATTTGTGAAGACCGAACTCCCTGAGGAGTGGGAATTAGAATGTATGCTGAGGGACTGGCTTACAGTAGAGGTGGTCATCCAATAAGTCTGCAGTTCACAGTTTTTTGAGTCTCTAGAATATCTGACCCATTTCTTCGTATTACATATGCAGAGATGCTTGAGTAGGTGGGTAAAGTGGTGCCTCAGGGCCCATGGTTAATCAGATGGTAATCCCTGGAGAGCTCTGTTTACCCTGTGTATCACCTCTTATTTCTGCTGCTTCCCTCAGTCACTTATTTTTATTTTGATTGATTGATCGTGTGTGTGTGTGTGTGTGTGTGTGTGTGTGTGTGTGTATGTGTGTGTGTGTGTGTGAGGGGGAGGTGGGGAGGAGAGGAGAGTGCACACGTGGTTTGTGCAGGCACATGTTTTCTGTAGCACAGATCTGGAGGCCGGAGAACAACTTGTGGGAGTTGGTTCTGTCCTTCCATTGTGGGGTTGGGAGGTTGAATGTAGGCACTTTTGCCAGCTGAGCCATGTTACCAGGCTCTTAGCCCCCATTATTTCTGTGTTTGATGCTTGTCTTTTGTCAGTGCCTGGGCAAAGAGCTCTTGTGCCTCAATGTTGTGGTTTGCTTGCTGTATCTCAGTCTTATGAACACAATGGGAAGGAGGGTGCTTGAACAAGGAGAAGCTGCTGCGTGCTCTGCTTTGCCTCCATGCTGGGAGCCTGGGAGCAGTCAGTTGAAGTACCACCTATAAGCTTTCCTTGCAAGGGCCAGAGAGGTGGAAGATTGTATACAAAGTTAGAGAGTTCTTGTATATGTTGCTTTCTTCATCCTAAAATAATGACTATCCTTTATTCCATGTATCTTTTGTACTCCCATTATGCTTAGTACTTTATGCTATTTTACTTTTTTTTTTTTTAGAAAGAATACTCTGGAAGGTAGGTTAATAAAATCTAAAACTGCACAGGCTGATAGAATGTCAACTTTGTGAGGGAAGTAAGCTCAGTGGCCAGGTGATCGAAGGGAGTGGCATCGCTTGCACTCAGGCTCCAGTGTGTGTGACCCCAAAGCCCATGAGTTGACTCCTTGCCATGTGAAAGGCGGCTGTTTGGAGAAGGGTTAACAGTGACATCCGAGGTGAAGTCTTCGTGTGTAGGCCAAAATTCACAAGCGCTTCCACGGTGTAAGTGCAGTGGTAGATGTTATTTTAGGAGATCTTATTTTGTGAGACCCATATTGCTTCTTTCCCATGTCTGTAAATAGGGCTACTGAATGTTGGCACATGCGTTTCCCTTTTCTCTTCCAGTGCCACGCTGCTTTAATGGTGCATTCTGAAGTCTGCTTTCTTTTCAGAAAAACCATGCCAGATGGATCATCTGGATAGAATCCTACTGTCTGGCATCTATAACGTACGCAAAGGAAAAACCCAGCTGCACAAATGGGCAGAACGCCTAGTTGTTCTCTGTGGTACCTGCCTTATTGTTTCCTCAGTGAAGGATTGTCAGACTGGAAAGATGCACATTTTGCCTCTGGTTGGGGGAAAGGTAAGATTCACAAATTTTAAATATTAGCTTGGTCACTAAAAAATGTTAAGGGTGGGTTGTGAAGGCCCAGTTGGTAAAGGAGGAACTGGAAGATTTCAGTTTGATCCTCAGAACTTTTGTTTAAGAAAAAAACAAGCAAACAACAACAAGAACCCCTAAGTGTCGTGGTGCATGCTTGTAATCTCAGTTCTGAAGAAACAATGATTGGCAGATTCCTCGGGCTGTTGCCTTGTCAATCTAGCTCACTTGTAAATTTTCAGATAAATCAGAGACCCCGTTTCAACAGACAAGGTGGACTTCTCTCAAGAAATGACTGACTCCCAGGTGGTTCTCTGGCCTCCACATGTAACATGTACCTGTATACATGAACACACACACACATACACACACAGAGAACTAGGGCTATAGTTCAGTGATATAATGCTTACTTATCACTTGTGAGTCCCTGAGTTTAGTTCCCAGCATTTGGGGAAATAAAGGAAAGGAAAGAAAAGAAAATACTCTGCCTGATTTTTCACAGAAGCCAGTAGGAACATCATGAAGGGTTATATCAGAGACTCTTGGGAGGTTCCAGGGCTCTCCATCCCCCAAGTGTGGTAGAATTGTCTGCTCCATAGCTAGGAATGAGATTCTATTGCTGATAATACCAGGATGTTGTTACCAGGATGCTACATAGAAGTTGCCTTTGGGAACTGGAATTAGCTGCCAAGATAGATAGCCTCACCAAGATAGATTCTTTCAAGCTTCATCGTTTTGAAACAGAGTTGGTGAGCCTCAACTCAGCAGCCAGGGAATCGTGACATATCTGTATCTGTTCTAGAAAAGTTCATTTGCTGGTTAGACAAACAGAGTGGCAGGTGACCATAGATAGATTAATATTTATAGGAAGCTAGATATAATTTTTTTTTCTGCTTTGAAGCTTGACTAGCATAACCAGTGTGAACTGAAGAGGATTCACTGACAAAATGACCTTGAACAGTCATACTCTGAAATATGCAATTGGTCTAGATGCACGGCAAGATAGATATAATATTGTATTAAAAAGACAGATGATATGGGCTGGAGATATGGCTCAATGGGCAGAAGTGTTTGCTGCCAAGTCCCAGAAAACACCATAATGTTAATGATGCTACCCATAAACTCAATTAAAACAAGCAAACTAACAAAAAACTCCTTTCAGATTGAGGTGGAAATAAATGGATACATTGAAAAACCTTGAAAATAAGTATGCTTAAGATTTTCTGAGACAATAGAACAACAAAAGTTCTGAAATCAGAATCCTGTGGAGGATTCAGTAAAAGCCTTTGGAATGGAAATATGATTTCTGAAACATAAAGATACTTGACTGGAGACATGGCCCAGTGGTTAAATGCATTGGTTTTCTTAAAGAGGACCCAGGTTCAATTCCAAGCACCCACATGGCAGTTACATCCATCTGTAACCTCAATTCCAGGAAGTTATGTGCTTTCTTCTCGTCCATGTGGGCCTAGCACATTTGAAGACACACAATACATACACATTAATAAAATTGAAAACTAAAATAAAAAAATTTGCAATGGAATACTTCACAAAGTTTATACAATCATTCATAGTTAAATACTAAGAAAGTCTTGTGAATTACTCATAAGAAATAGAAGTTAAAGTCACTATTTCTAAATAATTGTGTTAATTTAGTATTATATAAATTGACATTATAGTTTTTAATATGTGCAACTTTGGAAATTATTAACACTTAATGGTGAGAAGTTCCTTTTATCATTTTGTAGTAGGGTTTATTGCTACAAAGCTTTCTCCATTAGTCTTTTTGTTGGAGACAGAGTCTTATTATATATTCCTGGAAGGCTTGGAACTCCCAGAGATCTGCCTTCCTCTGCCTCCAGTGCTGGGCTGGGCTTAAAGGTCTTTACCAGCATACCTGGCAAAGTCTTTTTTTTTTTTTTTTTTTTGAAGGGTGAGTTGTACAGAGGTATAATTTAATATATCTAAAATTCACTTAAGTTATTTTTCCCTTTCATTTTTATTTCATGTGGATGGGTGTTTTGTCTGTCTGTCTGTGTATATACCACATGTGTACTTGGTGCTCGATGCCCTTCAAGGCCAGAGAAGGCATCAGATCCGTGGGACTGGGCTGTGAGCTACCGAACATGTATGTTAGAATCAGAACTTTTGCTCTCTGCAATAGCAGCAAGTATTCTTAACCACTGAGTCATCTCTCCAGTTCCCCACAGTAAAATATTTAAAAGATGATTCTAGACTATTATCTGTTCATTTCAATGAAATGCTTTGTTTTGACACCAACTTCTATAGTTGTACTGATTTCTTACCGATCAACAATGATTGTGTTGTGAATACCACAATTGAATGTTACAAAATTTTTAATTTTAGTGAATCTTTACAGTGTGCTTCTTTTTTGCCTTAAGTATTTTTTGTTTCTGTCACTTGGTTCTATCTTTAGTAACCACTAGAATGTATTGATTTGCAAGTATAACTTGTAAATTTGTAGCTGGTCTGCCAAGATTCAGAAGCAATGTCATCCAAAACGAGATGCTTCCAAAGATAGAAGTGGTTCCGTGGTGATAGGAAGAGTGTATCTTTAGCAAATCTGAGTAAGTTGAGTTGTTGCAGTTTAGGGAAAAGTAGCCCAGGCTGACCTGGAATTCTCTATCCTTCTGCATCTGCCTCCTGGGTGCTGGGATTAGAGGCGTGTGCCCCCACATCCAGCCGTTGTTGTAGTTTGATTTACCTCTCCACAGTGGCAGTTGATGTTGATTGTCATTTTGTGTTCTTGTTGGCTATTTGTATATATTCCTTGGAGAAATGTCTGCTCAGATTCTCTGTCATTTTAAAAGTATGTCTTTTTACTGCTTTCTGATAGTTCTGATTTTCTCTTCCTCTTCTTCAGATAGAAGACGTGAAGCGCCGGCAGCACTCCCTTGCTTTCAGTTCAGCTGGAGCCCAAGCTCAGACCTATCATGTCAGCTTTGAGACTTTGGCTGAGTACCAGAGATGGCAACGGCAGGCGTCTAAGGTTGGAAGCTCTGATAGGAGAGGAGACTATAGCCACAAGTGACCATTCTTAACATCACACCTTTCTTAGTGCACAGTGACCACAATAATGGAATTTCACTGGGTCTTTACTTATACTCTCCTAGTAGAAAATGGTGTCAAAAGGTTTTCAGGTTCATTTTCCTCTGTACCATCTCTATGAGGTAGGCCATAGACAGAATTAAGACATAATGGAATTTGACCTTTAAAGGAATTGAGACATGAGACTTACATTGCTTCCCACTTGTCACAGTAGTTTCTGATTGGCATATATATTCTCTAGCTTGTAGCCCCATGCTTCTTGGTCTGCACATTTTTAAAGCAGCTTTGATGAACCACTGAAAAGGTGAGCTTCTCTATGGGATGTGACTTGTCACAGATCCCTCTTCTGGTATGTTGAGGATAGTTGACATATCAGCGTAGCTCTGCTTAGTTAGCCATTAAAGATGCAACACTAAAGTGCACTGCAATTCCAGACCCTGGATTCTTTGTGGCAAGCAGTTTGCAGAACATGCCACAGTGTGATGGCATGTCTCAGGACACAAGTGATCTTCGTGAGGTGTTTTAAAACACATTGTAGCCATATTTGTTATTGTAGCATTACAGATTTTAAAGACTTCAGTTTTACTGTTTTTTGTTGCTGTGTTGCATCAGCTAAAAAGTCAGTTGTAACTTTCATTCTTCTGCCCCTTTAAAGAGAAGTTACTGTTTCTTGGCCATCTTTGGCATACTCAGCAGTGTGCTGTGTATATAGCTGCTTTATTTTATGCTTACAGTAGAAGAAGAAACTTTGTGAGTAAGCAGCAGAGACATGTGGCTATGAAAGTCATTTCGTCCCACACGGTCTCTTATTAAAGCTTATCTATTTTGAATCATCTTAACATTGCTTCTGGAATGAAATGTTAAAATTTTAATCCCTTGCAGAGACATGGACTTTTTCCTCCCTCCCTCCCTCCCTCCCTCCCTCCCTCCCTCCCTCCCTCCCTCCCTCCCTCCCTCCCTCCCTCCCTCCCTCCCTCCCCTCTCCTTCTTGTAAAGACAGGGTCTCGCTTATATCATATTGGTTGGTCTAAAACTTATTTGCAGCTTAGATTGGTCCTCTTGCTTCAACTTCCCAAGTGCTAGAATTATAAGCATGTACCCACTCAGGGTTTGGTTTTCTTTTTTTTCCGTCTCTAGGTAGGTTGGCCTTAAATCTCCCTGTGTAGCCAAGGCTGGCTTTGATTCTCTGACCATCCTGCTTCCACCTCTCCAGTGCTAGAATTACAGGCCTTACAGGCCTATGCCTTTTTTTTTTTTTTAAAGCAGCTTATGGTTTTAGGGAAAAGTAAAAATGAACCAGTTTTATAACTGAATAATAGAATCTCTACTCCCCCCCTTCCTAGTTTATAGTCAGCACCTTTTGTGTAAATGCCGTTCTGGCCTATGATGGGTGACAGCACCCAGTAGCTCAGGAGGCGTCTCTTGCCCTTCTTCAGGTGGTGTCCCAGCGGATCAGCACTGTGGACCTCTCATGTTACAGCCTTGAGGAGGTTCCTGAGCATCTCTTCTACAGTCAAGATATCACCTACCTCAACCTGCGACACAACTTCATGCAATTAGAAAGACCAGGGGGCCTCGACACACTCCACAAGTATGTAGAGGGTGGCTTTCCAGACTAGTATGTTGAAAATCAATTATAATCAGTATCTTAGTGGTTCACACTTTTAAGTTGACAAGTTGATAGGATTAATCCATTTCTCATTTCTGTAACAGAGTAAACAGAGGCTGGGTAATGCTTAAAGAGAAGAGGTTTAAATGTAAAATCAGACAGTCCCTTTGCTACAGCATATCATGGCGGATGGTGGGAGCCCACATGAGAGGGGGAGGTAGGAGAGCAAGGCAGGGAGCCAGAGATATTCAGTGGCCAATGCTTGCTTTCTTATAACAACTGATTTTCTTGGGAACTAATTCAACTGTGTAATCCTTTTCCAGGGCAGACTGTTCAGTGACTTAATTTCATCTTCCTCCTCTTTTTTGTTTGTTTGTTTGTTTGTTTATTTTGGTGATGTTGGGGATTGAATCCAGGACCCTGTGTGTGTTAGGCAAATGTTCTGAGTTATATACCCTTAGCCTTCACCTCTTACAGATCTACCACTTCTTGGTCCTGACACACGGTGGCCAAGCTTTCAACACATGAACATTTGAGGGATGAACCATGTCCAAATTGGCACTTTCTATCATATTATAGTTTGTAAATTTCCACTCCTTTTTGAAGAAACAGTATGAATCTCCCTCATTATTCTCCCTATAAAACAGGAGGTTGATGGAATGTTCTGTTTCAAAGACTGCAACAAATTGCCATTGATTTTGATAATATTTTTTTCTGGTTTGTTTTTGAGACAGCATTTCAATATGGAGTTCAGGCCGGCCCAGAGCTATGTAGACCAGACTGATCCTGAACTCACAGAGATCCACCTGCCTCAGCTTTCTGAGTCCTGAGGTCAAAGGCATGTGCCACTATGCCAGGCTTGAGACAGTCTATGTTGTTGGTAAAGCGTGATCTTCATTGATGATAAAGCATGGTCTGAGGCTGTAGTAGATTGAGAGACTCAGTAGATGAACAGTTTTTTAATCAAAGTTTCTAATTTAAATGGCTTCAAGCAGACAGGCCTGATTCAAGAATTCTGGAGTATACTTTATCTTATCTTTGTACCTGCTCTTACCAACTCTCCAGTCTTGTCAGCTATTAAATCTTTCTCTTCTGATAATGGATCATCTCTACAGGACTATGATCCATATGTTTTTCTGTCTTCTTTGTTAGAATATATTCTACCTTCCTACTGTCCCCACATCTCACCCAGTATTTTTACCTAAAAATGGGTAGCATGAGAAACCATCCTGGGCTTTATTAAGTGACCCTGTCTCAAGAAACTACACAAGACACAAAAAGTGGATGCCCATGAATAATGACAAGATGTGACTGTGGGCTTCTGCTGGGGAGGGGAAAAATTGAAAACAGAGCCAAGTGTTTTACATTACATTGTGAACAAAAAATAATTCACACTAAAATGGCATGGTTTACACACTCATGTTAATAACATATTTCTTACAACCCTAGTATAATCTTCGGAAAACATTGGTATTTAAATTCTAATCTTTTACAGGTAAAAGTATATACTTAGTAATGATACAGATGTTTGACTCATATTTGTGGAGTAAATTAAGCTGTGATTAAGGAAATCAGTCTTTAGCATTTCTTTCTGAGTTGCCCCTATGCTAGAATTGATCCAGTTAGAAAGTTTGGGCAGAGATTCAGAAGTCAAAGGAGTAATAAGTAATGAGAGTCAGGTCCCCTAGAGGTCAGACATTGAAATTTGGAAGAGAAGAGCCTTAGAGTTAGGTCCTATGGGCTCCATTCTCAAAGCAGGAGAATGATGCCCTTAGCTTATCATCATATTTGTGTATGATATAAAACATAATGTTCCATGCACCTATTTATAGCCACACTCTCTTGAGGCAAGATAATGTAGAAACTTTTACTCTGTGAACAAATGACACCAACACAGGATTCTTGTGATCAAAGCACTTTACCATACAAGGCTGTCACACATTCTGTCAAGCTCATCTGGTCCAGTTTTTCAAGTGGCATTTGAGCCACTATAATTTCAGTGTAAAAACAGTTGCTTATAATGTACTGTGCATTTTTTAGCTATTGTGGTATCTGAATAGATTAACTTTGTATATTACATGTAGATATTTAATAAAACAAGATTAAGTGTATTAAATGTGACTTGATAGAAAGGAACTATAGCAGCAAGGGCTCCCATGTAGATTTTTTGCCTCATTAGGGGAACTCTCTTGACTGGGTTTCATTGATAGCATAGACTATGTTTTAACCACTTTACTGTCTTCCGTGTCCACACAATACTTGGTAAATGAAAACATGTTTTTAGAACAAATTATATGGTGCACATTTTATTAGATAATTTTTTATTAGATAATTTTTCTGGATGTGGTGGCACATGTCTGTAATCCTATCACTTTGCAAATGGTGGCAACATTTTGAGTTTGAGGCCAACCTATGCTACATCGTGAGGTCTAGGACAGTCTTGGCTATATAGAAGGACCCTGTTTCCAACAGTAATAACAAAATAGTCAGTAAACAAAATAGTATCATCAGAGTCCATTGATGGTCTGTAAAGATAAAGGGCACACTTGATGAGGGTATAGGTAACTATTTATTGTGGAAAGTACAAGAGAAAACTGGCAACCAAGGTGAGTCTGTAGCTTTCGCTCTCGGACTGGAAGCCCAAAAGAGAACTTGGGAAAGAGCTTGCATCTCTTCTGCATTGCCTTTTATTGCCCAAAGTGGGCGTGTCCAGCGGTAAGGTCACCTAAGATCTCTTTCTACAATGGTCCCTGACTTATAATGGGTGTCTTAGTTACTCAAACCATCACAATGGGTTTGTGGAAATATAGTTTGTATTTGTGCCTTTGTATTTTAGATTTTCTCAACTGAAGGGCCTGAACTTGTCCCATAATAAGCTTGGATTGTTTCCTGTGTTACTGTGTGAGATTTCTACCCTGACTGAACTCAATCTTTCTTGTAATGGATTTCATGACTTGCCAAGTCAGATTGGCAATCTAATAAAGTAAGTGTTGGCTTTTCCTCGATTCTCCTTTCTTTTGCAGGGGACCATCTCTGGTCTTAGGATGCAGGCAGTACTTTGAACTTTCGCAGTGAGAAAAGTCACATCCTTACCAGGATTCTATTCAGCAATGGCTCTTGATGCCAGAGGTGACTATGCTGCCAAGCAGTGACCTGTTCACTCCATTTCAGCAGCAGTGGCCCTGGCTCTTGGGTGTCTCAAGACCCATCCTTAGAAGTTTTGCCTAAGTCTCTGTTAACTCCCCATGGGCCGAGAGTGGGAGAGTGTTGCTATGTTTGGATTGTTAATAAGTAGTGGCATGCCCCCTTTGTTGACTCTGTCTGTCTGTGTGAGCTGTTCCACAATCCAGACTTGTTTGTTTTCCACAGTCTTCAAACCCTTTGCCTCGATGGCAATGTTCTCACTGCTCTACCTGATGAATTGGGAAACCTGCAGCAGCTTTCTTCTCTGGGAATTTCCTTCAACAATTTTAGTCAAATCCCTGAGGTTTTGGAGAAACTCACCATGTTAGATAAAGTGGTTATGGCGGGAAACCGTCTGGAAGTCCTGAACTTAGGGGTGCTGACCAGGATGAGCCACGCTAAGCATGTGGATCTAAGGTGAGAACTTGCTTATTGCTAGCCTTGCTGTGATGGACCTTGATGTCTTCTCCTCATAAAGACTTCTGTAAAACATTAGGATCTTAGAGCAGTGTAAACATAGGCATTTTCAGATATGTAGTAAAACTTACTATTTACTCAGTAACAGACAGATTACGGACCTGGTGGGTTTGTCAGTGATGAAGACTTAAATTGCTAAGGATTGTCTGATTTACTCTTTAGCAGTATTTTATGAGAATTTCCTTTTCCTTGAACCTTTATCCAGATTGGAGTTCATTAGTCTTTTTTTTTTTTTTGCAGTAGAAGGTAGAGCATAATATTTCATTGTTTTAATGAACATTTGTTTATGAGTGATGAACATCTTTTTATATGGAGATTAGTGGTTTCTAGTTTTCTATAAATTTGACCATTTTTCTGTTGAGTTGCTTTTTTTTTCTTGATAACATCGTATTGTAATTGAAATATTCATGGCTTTACTACTAAGATCTTCTTACAAGTTTTGTTTTATAGTGACAATCTTTTCCTAAAGGAAGTTGGTAAATGGCTATGTCTTCTATCAATTCAGGAAGCCGATAGTGAGCCCTGTAAAGACAGACAGGGGCTTAGCATATAGGAGAAGAACAGGCTGAAGCAAGTACTGAAATTCTTAAGTTCAGTAAAAAGAGGAAAGGGTCATTCTCCTATGTTTATATACTTACAATAGAAATTATTTTTCTGTTTCTGAATATTAAGGATGAACCACTTGAAAACTGTGATTATTGACAATCTGGAGGGAAATAAACACATTACTCACATGGATTTGCGGGACAATCAGTTGACTGATTTGGACCTTAGCTCCTTATGCAGCTTGGAACAGCTGCATTGTGAGCGGAACCAGCTGAGGGAGTTGACACTCAGTGGCTTTTCCCTTCGAACCCTCTACGCCAATTGGAACAGTGAGTTCTCTATCCAATCTCCTGTTTTTGCTCTTTCAACTCTAGACTGAGTCTTCTAAGAAGATGGCGTCTGTGGTCCCGCAAAACTACTCTGCAGAATGGAGCTGTGACCTCTTGTGCTTCTTTTAACTTAGCCATTACCCTTGAAGCAATGGGGATACATGTATATCTGTGTCTATACACACATACATACATACATGGCAGGGTACTAAAATTCATTGTATGAGCACAGTAAGATACATTTTGCAGAATCATAGGGGCCGGGTAGGTAGATAAGCGTGTTCAAACCAGAGCATCTGTTATGAAGTAGGCATTGGTATCCTTACAGCCCAGGGGCTAAATCTGTCCTACCCCTCTTTTTTGCATAGTCTATAAAGAATGATTTCTAAATTTTTTATAAGTTGAGTAAAAAATTACAATAATAGTATTTGTGACATGAAAATTACATGAAATTCAAATTTTTATATTCATAAATCAAGTTCATGAGTATACATGCATAGGTTTACATTTGGTTTATTTATCACTGTTTTTATACTATGTTATAGTTATAGGAGTAAGATACTGTTGTGATCCACAGGCCTTAAAGTATTTCTTTTTTTTTTTTTTTGGTTTTTTGAGACAGGGTTTCTCTGTATTGTTTTGGAGGCTGTCCTGGAACTCGCTTTGTAGACCAGGATGGCCTCGAACTCACAGAGATCCGCCTGCCTCTGCCTCCCGAGTGCTGGGATTAAAGGCGTGCGCCACCAACGCCCGGCCCTAAAGTATTTCTTATAGACTTTTTTTTGTATGAGGTTGTTGAATCCCCCTCTGGAAGAACAGCCAATGCCATGTGGGTGCTGGGAATTTAACCCTGGTCCTCTGGAAGAACAGCCAATGCCATGTGGGTGCTGGGAATTTAACCCTGGTCCTCTGGAAGAACAGCCAGTGCCTTACCTGCTGAGCCATCTCTCCAGCCCCCTCTTTTAGCTTTTTAAGAAAAAGTTTCCCAGTCCCTTTTGGAGAAGCACATGCTGCTTTGGTTGTAGTGTGAGAAGACCCTGTTTCAGTAGTGTAGTGAGCACAAATGCCAGGAACAGACATGTTTGTGCTTTCCACAGTGTGACAATTGACATAGTAACAGCAAATCACAAGATTTAGTGGTTCCGTGACAGAAATCTGTCATATAACCTGCCTACATTGGTAGCCTGATTGAAATGAAGGCAAGTTCTTTTATTCAAGTCTTAATTACTGATACTAACTCTTATGTCATAGAATAGACATTAAATATAGCTATGTGTTCATGTGCATATATGTGGTTTGAAGGATAATATAAGTTTTAAAGAAGCTGCAGTGGAGTTCACGAGGTTTCAGAAGCTGGCAGAGAGTTGGGATGGGTAAGATAATGCACCTGAGGAGTGAGGGAGCTGCTGTAATTAGGCCTGACCTAAAAGCTGCAGAGTTCAGCTGCAAGGTGTAAGGTTGAATGGAACTATGGTCTGAGAGTAGGGAATAGATTAAGAACAGAAAACAGTATTTCAGGCAGGTCCAGCTCCAAACAAGCAAACAGGTGGACTGAACATGTAGTTGTAGACTACATCAAAAGCAAGGGATTGAGCTGGCTGATCTGAGGCTCAGGGAATAGTGGGGGAGACCTAAGTTCTACCTCCTCCCCCAACTATCAGATGGTAGGTTGGTAGGAAGATGGCCATGTCAAAGAAGTAGCTGAGCAAACTGTATGAACCTCAGTTCCCTGCTGGCATTTATCTCAGGGCTACTTCCACACAGAGTGACTATCACAGTGTTGTGTTATGGTGAAAGCATAGGACTCTTAAATCAATAATGGTGTATCTACACAGTAGATATTGTGTAATAGTGGAAATGAATGAACTAAAGCTTTGTATGGGTGCAAATAAGTCTTGGAAACAGGTTTTGACTAAGAAAGCAAAACTGCATGATCGTAGTATACTGTATAAGTTATACCAAAGCTTAAACATAGAAAACAGCACATTCTAGGTTAAAACTGTACTACAAATGATAACCATTCAGGGTAATGTTTAACCTCTTGGTGTTAAAGGAAAGTGTAAGGCAGATGTCAGTGTGTTAAGAGCTAGTGGTGAGGCTGGAAAACTGGTTTTCTTTTTCTTTGATTTTCTGTGTCTGAATATGTTATTAGCATAAAGGACATTTAGGGAGTTCAATTCTATTGTCTTTTATCATGTTATAGAGGCTTCACCCCTGCCGTAGATTAATTTCTTGAGTCAGAAGGTCCTATAGTTGAGCAGAGTAAATGAGCTTAACATAACCAAGCCTGATGACCTGAGTTCTAACCCTTGGACCCACAGGGTGGAAAGAACGAACCAGCTCCCACAAGTTGTCCTCTGGCCTTCACATGACACCCACATACAGACACAAACATACATGCATGCAGAGATACATAAAGAAGAACAAAACCTTTTGGGTGAAAGCTGGGTGTTGTGGCTGATGCCTATAATCCTCCAAGTACTTGGGAGGGTGAGGCAGGAAGGTCAAGAGTTCAAGGTTAGCCTGAACTACAAAGTCAAATTCTATTCCAGCCTATCTTTCCCTTTAGGAAAACCTAAAATAATAACAGCGACCAAATATATTGAGTGTTGACTGGCACTGTGTATTGATGCTGTGACCACCCTTGGAAATGTTCAGTGCAGCTACTAGAACTAACCATGTCTGGTATACCCAAGGTTCCTCTTGGCTTATATTCACTCTCTGTGCTTATATTAGTTCACATGTATATGGATAAGATATTCATAGTCATTCTAAATTGGAGAAGCTTTAAATGCCTAGCAGTCCTATGCTGGGTAGTCATGATGTATTTGCCACCAGGCAGCTGTCAGGGTCCTTATGTCCTACCACATAGAAACCATCTCTGGACAAGGAGGAGCTCGCTTCAAATGCTGCCCTTTAACTTTTGTACCCCATGGCATGGCAGTGAGTGGGGTAGCCAGGCTTAGTGGCTACAACTCTCACATAGATAGGCCTTTGGTAGAAGGCCCTTAGCCCTACAAATGAAGCGTTGCCTGGGAAGTCAGGATTCCTCAGCCTGTAGCAGCAGCTGGCATTATATCTTCTAGACAGGTCGAAATGCCTTGAGCAGCCGCTGTGACAGCTCCTAGACCTGGGGTGTCTGAAGACTTGACAGCTTTCTGGTATTCTTCCAGCAACCAGGGCCTGAAGTTGCTTTTGTTTGCCTCTGTATAGCCATTCCAATGAGGTCTCTACCCTCTTGTGCCTTCTCTGTACTTCCAATGGCACTTTTGTCCCTGGTCTGGCTGCTCCCCGCAGGACTATTCAGCCGTCTCTCTGGTCAGTGCAGCTTTTGCAGCTTAGTATCCTCTGTAGTTGTGGTCATGCTGTGTCAGCCGCCACTACGGCTCCACCGTCTCTGCTGCTGCTTTCTGTGTAACCAGATTAGCCTCTCCTGGTAAAGGAGGCAAGAAAAGATAACTTGAGAGAAGCCTTTTATTAGGGCTAAATGGTGTGGCTCCAAGCTGACTGATCAGGTGAGCAAACAGCTTGCTTATAGTTGTCATGCACTTTTCTCAAGGCTTCTGTGGTATGTTCATAAAGACAGGTGCTGGCCTACGGTTGTTTGGCTGGCTGATAATCATTTTTCATTTTGCTCCACACAGTCAGGGGCAGCAAGGGAGAGTTCAGCATCTGTCACCTAAGACACCAAATTGCTTTATCTCCCAGCATCCCTGCCTGTTTACAGGAAGATGAACAGCAGATCAATGCTTATAGTAAGAACTTAAATAACATCATCAACACTAGTAGTGATTTTTGCCAGATTTCACAGCATGTTAACAAAGTTTAACACCTTCTCAGTATCCTAGGGAGGATCAGGTGCCCCTGGTTGTTTCATATTCACAAAAAAAGAGCATTAAAAAAGATACAACCACATGCAGCAGTATGAGCAAATGCCACAAGCATAATGTGGATTAAATGAAGTCAGACCAAAGCATATACAGGAGAGAAAGAGAAGATCAGGAGTTCAAGGTCAGCCTCAGGTACATAGTGAGTTTAAGCCCAGCATGGGCTACATGAGATCTTGTCCCCAAATGAAACAAAATATAGGAAAGTATATGTGTGTCTGGGATTACAAATGTGCACCATCATGTTCCATTTATATAGTGCTTGGGATTAGAACCCAGGGCCTCCTGCGAGCTAAGTAAGCACTTGACCAACTGAGTTGCATCCCCAGCCATCTTGCACCCTTTTATTCCAGTGCTTGGGTAGGTAAGGCAAGAAGATTATGAGTTCACAGCCACCTGGGCTACCCAATAAGCTCCTGTGGGGGTGTGGTGTGGAGGAAAGTTCTGGTTTTATAAATGGCAAGTGTCTGCGGTATTTGGAGCCAGGATGACAAATGGCATCTTTGAAATAGTAGTGGCTAGAAAAGGAGGTAACGAAGTGCTCTGGGAGTTAGTAATGCCATGTTTGCTGATCTGAGTGTTGGTTCTACTAATGTGTTCCGGTTTACTGATCTATACACTTAAGATTGTTTCTGTATCTGTATTAGCCTTCTATTAAAGGTGAGATTATTTTCATCTTTAAATCCAGATATTGGGGCACAAGAGATTGCTCTGTGGCTAAGAGCTTGAAGTGATCTTGCAGAGGACCTGAGTTAGGTTCCTAGCACCCAAATGAGGCATCTCACAGTTGCCTATCAACTGTGGCTTCAGAGGGATCCAATATCTCTGCCCTCTGAGGGCTCCTGTGTGCTCATACCAACATACATACACAGAATAAAAAAGATTTTTTAAAATCCAGATATTTTTCAAGTTACAAACTAAGTGGCACTGTTAACATGGCAAATGCACAGGACCCTAAAGTCGGTAGTAGTAGTAGGCGTCAAATGGTGTCACTGTGAGCTGACAGTAGTTTTTAGTCATCTCCACAAAGCTACTTCCACTTTGTTTACCAGTGGTTTTTGTTTGTTTGTTTGTTTTTTAAATGATGTGTATGTATGTGTAGGAATGTGCAGGTACCCATGGAAGCCAACAGGATCAGATCCCCTGGAAGCTGGAGTTAACTGGCTGTTTTGAACTGCCCACTGTAGTGTTGGAACCTGAACTTGGGTCCCCAGGGAGAGCATTAGGGGCTCTTAACCACTGAGCCATCTCTCCAGCCTTTTCCAATAGTTCTTGCTATCTTATTCTTCAGAGGCCATTGTTAACATGGTGTCTGTTTTTCAACAGAACTGACAGCAGTGAATGTCTACCCGGTGCCCAGTCTGCTCACTTCTTTGGAACTCTCCCGGTGAGTGTGTCCGTAGGGGTAGTGCTTGCCTGGGTGCTGGGGGACAACTATTGTGTAGCTAAAGAAAGGAACCTCTGGGAGAGGAAGGGGACTTAGATCTCTTCTGTCTGAATAAACAACTTGTTGCTTAATCTCACAGCCCTCACACTACGTGTGACCACTCTCTTTACCTTTGTGTCTAAATTTCTCACTAATTATTTGTATTTGTGAGCACTGTTTCCTTTCATGAACTCCGTTTCCTTACTTCCTATTTCCTTATCCTGGCAGCCAGCTCATTTTAGGCCTTCTCCAATTCACTTTTTCTCTTGACACTTACTCTCTTTACCTATCTCTACCCTTCTTTAAACATTTTTCAGATTGGCCAATACAGTCTCCTTTTAATGTCATGTTAGTTATTACTTCTGCTTCTTTGGTGTTCTCTTCTCCTGGTGGCCTTTCCGTGACTGCCCCTCAAGTTCTGACTTGGCATACTGCTCTGTTTCAGAAGCAGTCTCATGGATTCCAGTGATTTAGTCATCCCTAAGGGTTGGCATCAACCAGGTTTCTCGACTGACAGGCCCATGTGTCCCGTTCTTTACTAGCTAGCCTTGCTGTACAGATCCCCAGGTGCCTCAAACCTGTACAAAATTAAACTCAGCTCCCGCTGTAGCGGTCTGTCTGTTCACACTAGCACAGTCATATCCTTGGTCACCCAGGTGAGAAGCCTGAAAGTAAGTAGCTTTCATTCCTTATTCTCCTCTCCTTCCTATACCTAATCCTCTAAGTCATTGTCATTTTTTTTTTTTTTTGCCTCAGTACTTTCGGGATTCCTCCTTCTCCTTCAGCTGTATGACTACTCACTTAGGCTTCTATCAGTTCCTGCCTGGAACCCTGATTATTTTTCCTTTTACCACCAGAATCATCCTAACCGGGTTCCTACCAGTGATCTATTTAAAGTACATCATCTGTACACTGCCTGTAAACCCTTGAGGTAGCCCCTGTATATGTAGGACCAAGTAAGAACCTTCCTTCCAGACATGGTTTAGAGCTGTCCAACCTAACTTCCCTTCTGCTCTCCCATCACTGAATGCTCCAGCATTCCCAAACTGCTTGGCATTCCCATCATTCATCACACTCCTTCTTGTCTTATCTCTGTGATCTGACTCACTTTGGCATCCTTGCTTGGAGTATATTGGTCATGTAAGGTTGCAGCATACCAGTTCTTCAGGATCTAACCCAGATATTATGTTTCTTATCAAAGTTTCGTTGGCCAATTTCAGGCAGTGTTTCTTCACTAAGCTGTCAGCAATGTGTGTATCTCTCACTGCATTGTGCCACATAATTGACAGACACCTTGCAACCTAGAAAAGTTAGGTCAGGTCTGACAGAAGCCTTTTGATGAAGATCTGTATTAAATCTTTCAAGTTCGTTTCCAAAGTTTGTTTGAAACTTTGCCTTGAACCGGACGGTGGTGGTGCACAGCTTTAATCCCAGTACTCAGGAGGCACAGGCAGGTGGATCTCTGTGAGTTCAAGTCCAGCTTGGTCTACAAAGCAAGTTCCAGGATAGGCTTCAAAGCTACAGAGAAACCCTGTCTCAAAAAAACAAAAAACAAGAGAAAACAGAAAGAAAGAAAGAAAGAAAGAAAGAAAGAGAGAGAGAGAGAGAGAGAGAGAAAGAAAGAAAGAAAGAAAGAAAGAAAGAAAGAAAGAAAGAAAGAAAGGGAGAAAGAAACTTGGCCTTGCTACTGATTGCCCTTTGTGTCTATTTTCTCACTGTAATTCCTTCTATTTTTCTTAGAATTTGTTTCTCTTCTGTCCATCATTACCCATGAATTCCTGATCATCTTTGATGCCACTTCCTCCAAGTCTCTCCTCATCCTGCCTCACTATGTCCTGCTGCTTATGTTTAAAGCCTTCTTTGGGCATGTGTTATAACACAGTTGATACATATTGCTGTACATTTTTGAGTACTTGTCTCTCTCTACTCTTCTACTTTAACGGTGTTTTCTGAGTATTGACTTTATTTTTGGAAATATCCCAGAGAATTCCTTGGAAATAGTGTCCCTGCCCTAAGGTGACTTAATACACACATAGGAGTTTAGTGAAATGAATTCCATTTGTCTGTTATTTACATTTCCATAACTGTGACAAAATACCTGAAGTAAGCAATTTAAAAGAAGAAATGTTTATTTTTGGTTTGCAGCTTCAGATCCTTGGGCCCATGGTGAGGTGTGGTATGATGGCCTACCTCATGACAACTGAGAAGCAGAGAGGGAAAGGCCAGCTCTCCTTTGAGCTCTTCCCTCTTCCTTCCCTTCCTTGCTCCCTCCTCTTTTCTTCTTTCTCCTGTTTGTTTTTAAAAACAGTTTTCAATTTAACGCAGGATGGCCTTGAACTTATGCTTACCTCAGCCTCCCAAGTGCTAGGATTACAGTATGAAATAGCAAGTCCCACCAGTTAGTTAAAAAAAAGTTTTTATTTTATGTGTGTGAATGTTTTTCCTGCATGTATGTCTATATATCACCTGTGTGCCTGGTAATCTTGGAAGACAGAAGAGGGTATCAGATTCCATGGAACTGCAGTTACAGATGGTTGTGAGATATCATGTGGGTGCTGGGAATTGAACCCTGGTCCTCTAGAAGAGCAACCAGTGCTCTTAACCACTGAACCCTCTCTCCAGTCCCACCTACCAATTTATAATAGCACTACAGGCTACTAGAACAGTCTGCAATAACATGTCTTTAGAGGGAAAAATTTAGTATTCAAGCCGCAGTAACTTTTTACCTTACATGATGATTCTTATTCTTGACAGAAACCTGCTAGAGTGTGTCCCTGACTGGGCCTGTGAAGCAAAAAAGCTAGAAATACTAGATATGAGCTACAATCTTCTCACAGAGGTTCCCACGAGGTACATGTGTGCAAATGCTTATCTGATATATGTATTTCTCTCAGTTTGGGTTGCCTTTCATTTGTTGGTTATTATTGAGGGCCTGCTGAGTAGAAGGCAAATAATGTACTGTAAGGGTTATAGTGATGACTAGTGCATTGTCTTAGCCTATAAAAAACTTTGTAAAACTGTGTGACATACACACATATAGCTGCTAAACTTTTGAAAGTTTCTGGCATGGTTGGTGGTATGATAGTATGACTATAACTGCTTTATAGAGTGACTTATGAGATGGAAATTTCCTGAGAACCTCAGCTTTATGATCTTACCTTTGAACCTTTTTATATAGGTACTGCCAACCTCACCTTAGGAATGAGGAAACTGAGAATGGTTAGGTAAACTGTCTGCGGTAGCATTTCACCAGGGGTACTGGGGACTAGCATTTGAATATAGAAGTCTTACCCTGGAGGTTTGGTCTTTATCATGACACTTATAAATTGTTTTAGAAATTCAGAAGAACTTGAAATAATTAGACAGTGCTTTGTGGTAAGATGGTATTTGAATTGACCTTTACTAGATGGTGAGATTTGTCTAACTTGAGAAAGGAGAGAGTGGTGCTTGAGGGGTAGGGTGAGGGTATTGTAATATGTATTACAAAGTACTTCAGTGTAAAATGTATGCTTGTGGAGTCATTAAAATTAAACTAGAGACTTTGTAGCACAGTAGGTCTACACCACGCTTCTGGAGTACAACCTTCACATCTAGATGATATCATTTCAGTGAGATCTTAGCAGATCACTAACTCTTTGCCAAGTCACCAACTCTTTGGATTTCATGACTAAATGGCCATTTTATACACTTAACCATTTTATTGTAATGAAAATTTCATTATGGAATTATATTAATAAACATTAAGTTTATTAGTATTGATAAATGCTGTGTAGACTACATTTTTGTCTAGACTTAAGCAAAAATGTTTTTATTTTAGAAACTGCTGAGCCAGTGGTTCTCAGTCTTCCTAATGCTTTGACCCTTTAATCCTCGTTTTGTGGTAACCTCCAACCATAAAATGATTTTCATTGCTACCTCATAACCGTAATTTTGCTACTGTTATGAATTGTAATGTAAATACCTGCGTTTTCCAGTGGTTTCAGGTGACCCCTGTGAAAGGGTTGTTTGAGAACAGCTCGTTAGACTCTCTGTGCCACTTTCCTCAAGATCCCATGACTGGGTGGGTGCTGGATGATTTTTGTGATAGCTTTCTTGGCTCAGTCACTTGGTGGTGGTTGTATATTCTAAAAATAGGTTTCTGCTAGTTGACTGATTTTAATTAATTTTAAGTAAGCCCTTGTTTTCTTCTGTTGTTTCTCTCCAGAATACTGAGTAGTCTGAGTCTTCGGAAACTGATGGTGGGACACAACCACATCCGTGTCCTTCCGGCACTGGTGGAGCACATTCCGCTTGAGGCATTGGATGTCCAGCATAACACTCTCTCCAGGCTGCCAGACACTCTCTTCTCCAAGGCCTTAAAGTGAGCACCTCAGAGGAGCACAAGCTGCACCAACTTATCCTTGGAGTGACTTACTTCTGGTTTACTTGATACTCCGACTGTGGGCAGAGACTTAGTTGCAATTTTTCATGATAGAAAATATACCGAACTCTTGGAGTCCAGTGATAATATGAGCAAAGGGGTACAGACCATGATGGGGAAACCCACAGAAATAGCTGACTCCAGACTGACAGTTGGGGAACCTGCATAAGACCAAACTATGCCCCATGAACGTGGGTGACAGTTGGGGAGATTGGACTGTTTATGGGGCTGCTGGCAGGGGAACCAGTAATTATCCCTAGTTTATAGCCCATTCCCTATAGAGGGATATGTTGCTCATCTAGATACAGGGAGGAAGGCCTTGGTCTTGCCTCAAATGATGTGACAGACTTTGATGATTCCCCATGGGAGGCCTCACCCTCTCTGAGGAGTGAATGAGGGGTAAGGTGGAGTGGGCAGATAGTTGGGGGGAGTGGGAGGACAGGAGGGAGCAGGAACTGGGATTGGTATGTAATATAAGATTGTCTTGGTTTGGTTTTTAGAGGCAGGTTTCTCTGTGTAGCTTTGGAATCTTTCCTGGAACTTGCTCTTGTTTGAAACCAGGCTGGTCTCAAACTCACAGAGACCTGCCTGCCTCTGCCTCCCGAGTGCTGGGATTAAAGGCATGGGCCACCACTGTCCAGCAAGATTGTTTAAAAAAGAAAATAAAAAAAATGTAGTTTCATAGTAAAGTTGAAAGTTGAAGGAACTATCAAATACTTAATTACTTATGTGGTAAATCAATTCTAGCAGGTCTGGGCTTATCAGGCTTTCATTGTGTTCAGGGAGAAATAGCATTTAGAGGGAGCCTTTGATAAATTCCAGCTTTTGCACTGAGCAAGAAAGGACGTGCTACTAAAGTCAGTTTTATTCTAGCTTTGAGTTATATTTTCTTGATTTTTAGAACATTTATCACATGCTTTGAAAACCATGTATTTGAAGATAATTTCCTCCTACAGGGTATTATTTGCCATTTTGTTGTGAATTAGTACATAGATGATATGTCTTTCTGTTTTAAAACATATAGTCAGAGCCGGGCATTGGTGGCGCGCGCCTTTAATCCCAGCACTCGGGAGGCAGAGGCAGGCGGATCTCTGTGAGTTTGAGGCCAGCCTGGTCAGCAAGTTCCAGGATAGCCTCTAAAACAATACAGAGAAACCCTGTCTCGAAAAACCAAAACCAAAACCAAAAACAAAACAAAAAACCATATAGTCAGGTTTACTTAAATATCATCTTTGGAGAAAAAGTAGATATTTTGGGTTTGTTGTTGTTGGTGGTGGTTTTTGTGGTGCTAGGATTAAATTTGGAGTATACTTTGGAAATAATTGGATAAAACCCCAAGATTTTTATTATGATATCTATATTATATGTACAGAAGTATAATTACTTTGTGCAGATATCAAAGTATTATGGGATTAGCTAAATAAATAATGATTTGTTACAAAGAGATACAAGTTTTGAAGGTTATCTTTATACTTCAAACATATATTAAGGTGGTATTCAGTAGTGTCCTTGCAATGGATATAAGTGGTTTTTTCATGCAGCCTTTATAGAATGGTAGAAAAATAACCATGCCTATGTTCCTTCTTGCCATCTGTCCTTGAGTTGCATAGATGCAGAGAAAACTTCTTGGAGGAAATTATTCTTGACTTGGGAGCTTGATAGCAGCATTCCCTGTTGCAAGGGCATGATGTTTTGTACTTAAGAAGGTAACAGACTCAAAGGGAATGATGCTCTGTTTGTGTTCTGTCAGTCTCAGATACTTGAATGCATCTGCAAATAGTCTGGAGTCTTTGCCTTCTGCATGTGCTGGAGAGGAGAGTCTGAGTGTGCTACAGCTACTGTACCTGACCAACAACCTCCTGACAGACCAGTGCATACCCGTCTTGGTTGGTCACCCACACCTGCGAATCCTCCACCTCGCAAATAATCAGCTACAGACCTTTCCTGCAAGGTAAGTGAGTGCATTGTGATCATTTGACAGTAAAATAGGAATTCGGCATTACATCACAGCTGTCTGACCTGCTGGTGCTGCGACTTCACTAGCTTAGCAGGTAAATCTTGTCTTAATAATTTGTTCCTGGGTAAGTATGAATAGCCAAAGAAATCGTGGTTAAAATGTGTAATTTTTAGCTCTAATTATTTAATAATAATCTGAGAATATCCCACCCAGAAAAGTACAGGATTATGAAATAAAATGTCAGATCTCTTTCTTATCAACACTGTATTATAAACACGTTTTTAATAGTTTATTCTTTATGTGTATTTATAAAAACACCTCATATGTGCCACATACTGTATCACACTTAACTGCCTCTGACCTACAGTCAGATTGGGGAAATAGACAAGCACCTTGGCCAGTGGTTCTCAACCTTCCTAATGCTGTGGCCCTGTAAGACAGTTCCTCATGTTGTGCTGACCCCGAGCCATACAGTTATTTTCATTGTTATTTCATAACTGTAATTTTATTACTGTTATGAATCATAATGTAAATATTTTTAGAGATAGATAGAGGTTTGCCAGAGGGGTCACGGCCCACAGGCTGAGAACTTTTGGTTTAGGCAGTTGCCATGCAGTGTGACAAATGCAAGATATTAAAGATCTCAGTTAGGGGACTGGAAAGATGGCTTAGTGGTTAAGAGTGCTTGCTACTCTTTCAGAAAATTCATGTTCAATTCCCAGCACTCACATGGGGTGGCTAACAAATGCCTGTAACCTCAGCTCCAAGGGATTCAATACCCTCTTCTGGCTTCTAAGGGCACCTGCACACATGTGGCACATATCCACATAGACACATAAACAAAAATAAATTAAAAAATAGAAGTAAAAAGATACCATGTTGCTAGTTGTACTACACAGAGCTTCAGAGAATGGGAGTTAGGCCTGGAGAAGAGAGAGGAATAGTAGTTAGCAATCTGTACCTGTAAGATGACACGAGAAAGAGTTCCTTCAGTTAAAATTTAAACAGTGTCCATGGAGAAATAATTATTTTTCAAAACACATTTGGTTTTTAAGAAAATTGGGCGTGGTGATGTAGCTCTGTTTCTGGAATTCTTGCCTAGTAGGGTTAAGTCCCGAGTTCTACCCCCAGCACTGTATAAAATAGGTATGGTAGCACACACCCATAATCCCAGCATTCAGAAGATAGCAGCAGAAGGATCAGAAATTAAGGCTATTTTCAATTGCATACAGAAGCCAGCCAGGAATACACAAGATCCTGCTCCCCATATCCACACCCAAAATTCTGTTATTAAAAAGTATAGCATTTTGGGGGGCTACAGTGGTGGCTCAATGTTAACAACCCTGGCTGTTCTTTGAGAGAACCTGGGTTCAATTCCCAGAACCCACTGTCTGTAACTCCAGTTCCAGGGGATCTGACACCTTCACATAGACACACATGCAGGCAAAACACAAGTATATGTAAAATATAAATAAATCATTTAAAAATAATATTTTCTTCTTTGGTACATTAGTATATAAAGTAAGAGTTTCTTCATGACACCTTTATAAATGTGTCATTAAACTTTGTTATCATTCATTATCTTTCCCTGTTGTCCTCCAAAAATAATATGTATATATAAATATGTAGCCCTGCATATTCTGAACCTCACTATGTAGACCAGGCTGGCCTTAGCTCACACAGATTCACTTGCCTCTGCTTTCAGAGTGCTGGGATTAAAGGCATGGGTACTATGCCTGGCTTTAATGGTGTTTTATTCTTTAATACAATGTGTCTTTAGCACATTCATACATACTCCTGATTCCTTCCATGGCTACTTTCTCCACTTTCCCAGCTCTTCCCACCCATCTCTGTGGTTTCTTTCTTTTTTAATCCTTATCGAGTCCAGTTTGTAGTGCCCGCCTAGTCTTAGGGAGTGAGGCCTGCCCTGGTGTAACCCATCATAGGTCGGTCACATCTTGAAAGCAAACTGGTTCTCTCCTAGCAGCTCTCCAATGCCAGTAGCTTCTTAACTAGCAGTAGGATTTCCTGCTGCCTTCCCCTTTCAGTTCTAGGGTTTTGTTTAGTTTGAGCTTGCTCAAGTCTTCTACCTGATGTCATAGTTGCTATGAGATCATATGTTTTGTCTGGAAAACACTGTTTCATTGATGTTCCTACTAACTCTGGCTCCTACAATCTGTCTGCCCTTTTTTCTGCAAATATTTCCTCAAGCATTGGGAATAGGCAGGTGATAATGTATACCCCAATTAAGCCAGAGCATTCTACAGTTCATTATTCTAGGCCTGCTAACCATCTTGTAGAAGTTGATTTGTGCTTTCTACCATGTGGGTCCCAGGGATCAAATTCAGATAGTCAGGCTTGACAACAAGTGCCTTTATCCACTGATCTATCAGCCCTGGTTTTAAAGTCTGGGCAGGGCTGTATATTCACTAAACAGCTGATTTGGGACATGGGTGTTGTGCTTATATTCACCAGTTAGAAAGACCCTAAGCTGAGAGGAATAGAAAAGGAAGGTTGACCTTCGGGAAACATTCGGGATAAATTTTAAAACTAAGTTAGAAGACAGTTATTTAACTTTTAGTTTTAAAAGACATGTGTCACTATGGACTCCAAGTGGGATCAAACTCAAGATACTCATTTATAGGCATTTGTCACCACACCTGACTCTGTGAATTTGAAATTCTGTTTCATACTTCTAAATGAATATAGCATTATGTCAAAGAACATTTACTATGTGATTTGTTTATAGTAGTTGGATTAAAAATTGGGGGGGAGTTGGTGAGATGGTCTAGTTGTGAAATGCTTGCTGTCCAAACTTGTCCTAAGCTCAGATTCCTAGGACCACATGAAAAGCTAGCAGTGGCAGCACACACGTGTAACCCCAGTCCTGGGGAAGTAGAGACAGGAGGATCTCTGGGTCTTGCAGAACAGCTTGTCCAGTCAGATCAGTGAGGTTCAGGCTTAGTGGAGACCCTGTCTCAAAATAAACAAGCAGACAACCCCCAAACAAAAAGATCCAATGTCGATTCCTGGTTTTCTGTTTGTGTACACATCTGCACATCTACATAAAGTTGTTCACACACACAGATATTCTATTTGTCTTTATTTTCCAGTTTTTGAGTGTAAATGTATTATCATAATACAAAAGACAATATTTTTCTAAGCTTACTTATTCAAAGTACCAGTTTTCTTTTGTGTGTGTGTGTGTGTGTGTGTGTGTGTGTGTGTGTGTGTGTGTGTGTGTGTGTGTGTGTGTAGGTGTGTATGTTGTGGGGAGGTGTATTTGAGAAGTATGAATTTTCTAGTAGTAGAAATTGTGGTCTACTAAAAGGGTAAGGTAGAAAGGTCATATAAAGTATTCATTGGAGGGACTGGAGATATGCTTAGTAGTTGAGAGCAGAGGGGTGGGGTTTGGTTTCTAACATGTGCATGGGGTGCACAACTGTTGCCATCGACAGCTCCAGTTCCAGGAGACCGGATGCCCTCTTCTGGCCTCCCTAGGTACCTGGCACCCATGTAATGCACATGCAAGCAAACAAATACTTTTTAAGAAAAAAAAATTAAAACCCATTTTGAGAAATCTGGTAGCAAGGTTAGTGAAATTACAATAGTGATTCTTTCAGATTGCTAGTGTTAGAGTTGTATTCCAAGTTTTCTTCACATTTATTGGTTCCATAGAAATCAGAGGAATTTGTTAATGGATATGTCAGGCTTAAGATATTTTGCTTGACATGTAAAAAGCTTTGCTCATTATCAGAGTGCTGTAAATAGTTGTCTTGTCCCAAGCAGGGTGCTGTGTGTGCAAGAGCTTGGTGGTTAGTGATGGGGAGTTGCACCACTTGGTACCCATAGAAGTCTAAAACTGAAAGCAATCTTAATTTGCCTTCTTCATACCCAGGATTTTGTATCCTAGTTAGTGCTGCAGTAAGAACTGGCACTACTTTCTCAACAATAGGCCATACTTTTTCAGGCACTCCCTGTAAGTCAGACAGAATGTGCATGTCCACATCTATAAGGAAAACAAGGGCAGTGTGAGTTTTGAAACACTGAGGGGCTAATAAGAGATCATGCTGACAAAGATTAGGCTTGGCACGATGGTGAACCATGACTTGGTTGATGTCTGTTTCTTTTCTCAAGCTTTTCTGTAGTGAACCAAGTTCTCTTTACTCTCAGGCTACTATACAATAGAACTGATTGACAACTGCTTTTTTCTGATGCAGCCCGGTGTTTTGAAGGGTTTTTTTTTTTCCTCAGCAAACTAAATAAATTGGAGCAATTGGAAGAACTGAACCTAAGTGGGAACAAGCTTAAAGCCATTCCCACAACCATAGCGAACTGCAAAAGGCTGCATACCCTTGTCGCACATGCCAACAACATCAGCATTTTCCCAGAAATACTGCAACTGCCTCAGATCCAGGTACGTGCACGAGCTAGCCTGACAACCTCACTGGAGAGTGGCAGGGTGGGAGCGAGTGCCTTCCTTGAAAGAAGTAGGAGTATGAATGAGACTGCTTCCCTCTCAAGACTTTCTCTCAAGCCAATTTCCCTTCTATACAGTAAGATTCATTGAGAGACCAAACTGTGTAACTGCTTTGGTAGTGATAGCCCACAATTGGGTACAGTTCTCTGCTTTATTAGACTCCCCATCAAATAGCCAAGCCAAAGCCCCAATCCTATATTAGGTTCCTTCCTACACTTTCTTCCGTGTACACCCAAGGCTTCCATGATGAGCATTCTCTACTGCTGCAAGGAGAATCAGCCAACTCTAACCACAGGTGTGCCCTAGAGGTCTTTGGCAGGAGAATATTGACAAAACTACTACATGAACAACATGACCAGACAACAGCTATATAGCTTTTGATAGCTTTGCAAACTAGTACATGCTGCCCATAAATATAACTAAGGCTCCCCTTTTCTTCATACATAAGGAGCAGGTATTTTCTTTTCATGTTCTCAGTTTAAAATCTGAGTATACTTAATTCATTCCTGGAAAGAAATTAATTTGCATTTGAGGCTATAGGAGAAGACTGAGTATTTAGGAGTAGAGATTGTAATATAATGTATTCTCTTTTCATTTCTATATTCCTTCTCAGTTTGTAGACCTGAGTTGCAATGACTTGACAGAAATACTAATTCCAGAGGCTCTGCCTGCTACTTTACAAGACCTTGATCTGACAGGAAATACAAATTTGGTTCTGGAACACAAGACTTTGGACATGTTTAGGTAGGAAAAAAAAATCTGAAATCAAATCCATATGTTTCAGCCGTCAGTGGATTCATTTTGGATTGTGGAAACCTCAGTTAATTAAATGGATAGAGTGGATTAGGCCAGAACACTCCTGGTTGTTCTCTTTGATTCATTTCTACTAAGCTACACACTATGACGTACATATGTCTGGTGGCACAGGTCACATTATAACATCTTAGCGACAATACATATGTATTGTTTTAAGTCTCTTGCTGGGTGGCGGTGGTGCACACCTTTAATCCCAGCACTTGGGAGGCAGAGGTAGGTGGATCTCTGTGAGTTTGAGGCCAGCCTATAGCTCGAGTTCCAGGACAGCGTCTAAAGCTACAGAGAGAAACTCTGACTCGAAAAACCAAATTAAAAAAAAAAAGGATCTCTTGATGTTGCTTAAAGTAAGTAGACACATGGTAGACATGGTAGATGTTTGTGATGTGTTAGTTGAAACTGTCTTCAGCTTCTGTTTCCCCACCACTTTACATCGAAGCCACAGATTCATCACCCACTTTTATTCAGTCTCTCTGGAAATGTGTCTTAGTCTGTCAAAAGATTATTTTCTGAAAACATTATTGTTTTGATAGTTTTTATAAAATGCAGAAGAGAATATGGTTTAATCTTCCCTTCTTTACCTCCTACAGCCATATCACAACCCTGAAAATTGACCAGAAGCCTTTGCCAACCACAGATTCTACAGTCACATCAACCTTCTGGAGCCATGGACTGGCTGAGATGGCAGGACAGAGAAATAAGTGAGTATATTGACCCTGAGACTGGAGAGACAAAAGGCTGTTGATGACATCTTAGGCCTGCCCTGGTGCTCACAGCCAGACCCAAGTCTCGGAACTTTAGCATGAGATAAGATCCTTCTAAAACCATGATAAAGAAAGAGAAGAAAAGAGACATGTGGTTCACAAAGTGCTAAACACCTTTTAAGGTTTTTGGATGGGATTTTTCCTTCCTATGAGTGAAATTTATTGCAAGGCCCAACCATAAAAGTAAACCATTTCCCGTTGCCCCTATCTGAGATGACCCTCTGCTCTTGTACACAGACTTTCCCCACAATGGTCTAGCCAAAGCCCACATCCTATACTAAGTTCTGTTCTTGTACCTTCTGCCTATACACCCAGGGTTCTATGGTGAGCCTTCTTCCTGGGAGCAAGGAGTGTAGCCCCAGCTTCATTGGCAGGTGTGCTCTGGTGCTCTTTGGCTGAAGGGCATTGACACAATTAGTTCTTTTTTGTTGTTGTAATTTTGTCTTGTTTTTCAAGACAGAGTTTCTTTGTGTAGCTCTGGATGTCCTGGAACTCACTCTGTAGACCAGGTTGGCCTTGAACTCAGATTTGCCGGCCTCTGCTTCCTGAGTGCTGGGATTAAAGGCGTATGCCTGGCTGCAAAACGAGTTCTTAATCACCATGACCAGCCTGTGAATATGACTGAATCCCTTTTCCTTAGGATGCTGTCTCTGTCAGCTGCTGCCTGACTATCTATCTAGTAACCTGCTCCTTCTAGATGTAGACTTACCACAGTGCTTCTCCGTTTTCAGTTAATACTTTCTAAAGAACATTTCCTGAAGAAGTGATTGTGCTTCTCATTTTGTTCCAGGCTCTGTGTATCTGCTCTGGCTATGGATAACTTTGCAGAGGGGGTAGGAGCTGTGTATGGCATGTTTGATGGGGACCGGAATGAGGAGCTCCCTCGTCTGCTGCAGTGTACCATGGCAGATGTGCTTTTGGAAGAAGTACAGCACTCAACAAATGACACAGTTTTCATGGCCAATACCTTCTTGGTATCTCACAGGTAAGCAGGTGGGTTGAATAGTCCCTAATCCCACTTTCCTTCTAGAAGTAAATCTCAGAAGTTGAAGGCCATTGCTTATAGATGCATGATCAAAGAGAGATGCTGCACCACACTCTCTTGGTATCAGCAGAGTGTGGTGGTCATTGCCTCTTCAAAGTGGAGTCATCTGCCCACTTTTGCCAAGGATCTGGGAATGCCAGCACATGTATGCTAAAGGCTATGTGTGTGATCATTCAGGGGAAGCAGGCTGGATGTTTTCCTAAGATTCTCTAGAGTTAGCTGATGACCTACAGAAAGCCAACAGGCACTCTCTAGGTTAGGTTATTGTGTTAAAATACTTATTTCTGGAATTTATCTACCTCCTCTTTCTCATTAATACCCAAGCCACTTAAAAGCAAAATCTCACTTCCCAAGTCTGGAAAATCTCTCAGTAGCAGAGTGCCTTGCACGTCAGGTGGATGGCCAGGATACAGAGTGCTGAGACTGTAAATTTGGATAGTTAAGACCAGAGCAGCCTGGAGCTGGGGCTGGTTGTGTTTCATTTTAAAAGGCAGGGTGTTGGGGAAAGAGTCAGTTTTTCAGTAGTGTTGAGCTAGTGACTTGACAAAAAAAGTTTGGAAAAGGGAACTTTAAAGATCGAACCTGCCAAGGACCAAGTACTATACCACATAGTTTTTATTCTTATTTTTCAAAACAAGCCAAATAGGTGCGGATTTTATCAGTTTGATTTCTTAGAGAAAGAACTTTGGGATTTTATAGTCAACAAATATGCCAAGGAAATTCGAAACCAGATTGTTCTGGTGGTGTCTATTGTGTATCAGCATTGTCTCCAGGGTAAAGACACATAGGTATATGTGTGTGTGTCTCTGTGTGTGTATGTCTGTGTCTGTGTGTCTCTGTGTGTGTATGTCTGTATGTCTGTGTGTATGTGTCTGTGTGTCTCTGTGTGTATGTCTGTCTGTATGTCTCTGTGTGTGTATGTCTGTATGTCTGTGTGTATGTGTCTGTGTGTCTGTGTGTCTCTGTGTGCATGTATGTGTCTGTGTGTCTGTCTGTATGTCTGTGTGTCTCTGTGTGTGTATGTCTGTGTGTCTGTGTGTCTCTCTGTGTGTATGTCTGTGTCTGTGTGTCTCTGTGTGTGCATGTCCGTGTTTCTGTGTCTCTGTGTATAGGTGTCTGTGTGTGTGTATGTCTGTGTGTCTGTGTCTGTGTGTCTCTGTGTGTGGTAGTCTGTGTGTCTGTCTGTGTCTCTGTGTGTGTATGTAGGAAGTACAAACTGAGTCATGGCCTCTCTCTCAAGGAACTTACAACCTGAGTGCTTTTCAGAGTGTTTTTGCTGGACCAGCATTCTCAGCATTCTCACTAGAAACTTGTTAGGCATGCAGAGCCAGCCCTCTTGCCCCAATCAGAAGCTCTGGGGTTGGTGCCAGGCCCAACATTCTGTTCTAACGGTGACCAGGCCTTCCACGTGCATCCGATGTACTGAAGTCTGAAAGCTCCTGAATGGGGAGGTTCAGATCAGACAGAAACTGTGGGGAAAGATGCCCCCTCTTGTGCCCTATGAGACCCCCATCAGCTGAGAGTGCTAAGCTAGGTTCTTTACCACCACTTCCACCCATAGCAAGAGTCTGCCTGGATAGATGAGGGTGAGGGATTTGCCGTGGGTGTAAAAGACTACTACCTCTTTTCTCTAAAACTAGCTGTCATGTCTTCATTTCTTTTCTTTTTCCTCCCCACAGGAAATTAGGAATGGCTGGCCAGAAGCTGGGCTCCTCTGCCCTCCTGTGCTACATTCGACCTGATACTACTGACCCAACAAGTAGTTTTAGCTTGACTGTAGCCAATGTTGGCACATGCCAAGCAGTCCTGTGCCGAGGTGGGAAGCCAGTATCCCTTTCTAAAATCTTCAGCCTGGAGCAGGACCCAGAGGAGGCACAGAGGGTGAAGGATCAGAAAGCCATCATAACAGAGGTACATCTTGCTCTCTGCCAGTCACGTCTCCTCCCCAACTCCAGTGAAAGCTGTTTGAATAGAGACAGAGAGGGTCCATTTTCTTCCTCTCATGACTTGTAAATTGTGTTCATCCTCTGATAAAGGTTCAGTTCAAATGGCTTCAGTATTAAAGTGGTGCCTTGAACCCCAGAACCTGGGAAGGGAGAGAGAGATAGGTGGATCTCTGAGTTCAAGGCCAGCCTGCTCTACATAGGGAGGTCTGGACAGCAAGGACTATATGGTGAGACCATGTCTCAGAATAAAATGAAGCAAAATCCGCTGAGCAGTTAGTGACTAGCAAAAAGCAAAAGTGAAAAGTTGTAGTTAGTGATTGAGTGAGCGGCTGGCAAGTAAATGCGAAGGTTGTGGTCACATTAGTGAGGCCCCAGCCCATCAGGTTTTGGTATTCCTGGCGGGAAAACCTGAGTTTCAGTATTGTTCCTGTGCTTACTGCACACAGTTCACTGCACTCCTGTTGTTTTCCTTATGATGGAGTATCAAGCAGCTATTGTGTAGTTTTTCTCCTAGAAATTAGCATAACCTAGCTGGGTGGTGCTGGTGCATGCCTTTAGTCCCAGCGCTCAGGAAACAGGCAGGCAAATCTCTTTGAGTTCGAGGCCAGCCTGGTATACAAAGCTACACAGAGAAGCCCTATCTCAAAAAAAAAGGAAAGAAAAAAATTAGCATAGCCTTCTGAAATTAGTAGTTATATATGAACATTGTTTACTGAAAAGAGGGTTCATGTCTTATGCCCATTTTAAATTTTAAATAGGATTGGTATTTTGCTTGTGGTTGAGTTTTAAGAGATTTTTCTTTTTTTAGTTTTTCAAGACAGGGTTTCTCTCTGTATCCTTGGCTGTCCTAGAACTCAGTCTGTAATCTAGGCTGGCCTTTAGCTTTTAGAGATCCGCCTGCCTCCCTAGTGGTGGGATTAAAGGTATGTGTCAAGAAATTTCTTTGTATATTTTTGGAAAGAAGTCTTTTATTAGGTGTGCTCAATAAATATTTTTTCAGTCTGTGGCTTTTCTTTCCATTCTCATAGCAGTGCCTTTAGCAAGTGGTTCTCAACCTGTGAACTGTGACCCCTTTGGTCACAGGGGTTGCCTAAGACCATCAGAAAACACAGATATTCATATTATGATTGATAACAATAGCAAAATTACGGTCATAAAGTAGCAATGAAAATAATTTTATGATTGGGACTTATCACATGAGCAACTATCTATTTTTTTTTCAAGACAGGGTTTCTCTGTGGCTTTGGAGGCTGTCCTGGAACTAGCTCTTATAGACTAGGCTGGTCACGAATTCACAGAGATCCACTGCCTCTGCCTCCCGATTGCTGGGATTAAAGGCATGTGCCACCACTGTCCAGCTTGGGCAACTATGTTAAAGGGCCATGGTTTTTAGGTTTTTTTTTTAATTTGTTTATTATTCTGTGTGTATGCATGATGTGAATTGAAAGAGGGCACACGACCACAGCTCACATGTGGAGGACAGAGAACTGCTTCCTGGGGTCAGCTCTTTTCTTTTACCTTATGTGGGTTCCAGTGTCCAGGCTTGCACAGCAAGTACCTTTACGTGATGAGCTGTCTTTCTCGCATTTGAGAGGTTTTAATGACTGAAATTCTGCTGGTTTTTATTTAATGGTGTGAAATCTAAAATTGCACTGAAAAACCCGAAGTTATTCATGTTTTTGTTTGTTTTATCTTCTAAAAGCTTTGTAGCTTTGAGTGTTACATTTGGATTTGTGGTTTATTTTGAATTAATCTTCAGAAAGCATTAACTTTTTTGTTTTGCTTTGTAATTAATTTTTTTGAGTCTTTAAAAATATGTGTAGTTAATTTGAGAATTTCATACATGAGTATTATATATTTCCACCCCTTTTTCTCCCTCTCCAACTCTTCCTGTGTTTCCTCCACTCCCTCTCAAATTCATGACCTCTTCTTCAGTCACTGTTTCACACACACTCACACACACACATGCACACACTCACACATGTGCACACTCACACACATACACACATACACTCTTACATACATACCCATGCACACACTTACACACACACACACACACATACACACACACACACTCACTCACACAGCCCAGGTTCATTTGATGTTGCTCATATGTGCATGTGTGTGTTTAAGGCTGACCACCTAGGTTTAGATAACCTATCTGGGAACCTAAACCTGAAGAAGACTCCATCTCCTTCTTTCAATGGCCATCAGTTGCCTGTAGTGCTTCGTCTAGTGGTAGGGCCTAGTGAGATTTTCCCCATACATGTTGGTATGCCACTTGGTATTGTCGTTGTGCAGGTCTTGTTTAAGTAACTATGTTTTTGAGATTGCATGAATTCATCATTCTTGTCATGTATAGAAGACATTATTTTCCAGCAGATGTCATGATCTTCTGGCTCTTCTATCTATCTATCTATCTATCTATCTATCTATCTATCTATCTATCTATCTTGGTGATGTTAGAGATTGTGTCTACTTTTCATGGAGAGGTATCAATATGAAAGTGTCAAGTATATGGCCATTTCCATTTGGACTAGGGCAATTCCTTTTCCTCTTGGTTTAGACTCAACCAGACACTTGTTGAATCCATTCATTCTGGTTACAGTCTCAATGGAGAGGTTGAGATTCAGACTCATTCAATAACCTTGGGACTTGTCTAAGGCTTCAGCAGCTAAGCCTCTCTTATCCATTTGAAATTGTCTAGTTCCATTGTACCTTTAATGTGCCATCTGAGTTTGGGCTTCAGAAAACACCAGTGAGGGGAAGTGGTACAGGCTGTGTTCATGGTTTCTCAGACACATCTCTCTATTTAAGGATTTGCTGAGGTTATCCTGTCCTTCCTGTTAAAACAAGTTTCTTTTGAGGTAATACTGCCTGTTTGTCACGTAGTTTTAATTGATTTAACTTTAATTCTCTCAACTCTGTGCTATAATAATTGGATGGTTATGTTGTTTTAAATTTCTATACATTTAGCTTATGAGTCCACTTGTTCTACTCCTAGAACAAATAATGTAACATTTTTTACTGTACATTCCTGTGATGGTTTGAATAAACATGGCCCCATGATTCATATATTTGAATGCTTAGTCACTATTTGAGAAGGATTAGGAGTTGTGGCTTTATTGGAGTAAGCGTGGCCTTGGTGGAGGTAGTGAGTCATTGGGGGAGGACTTTGAGGTTTTCAAAAAGCCCATGTCAGGCCCCCTCCTCTCCCTAAACATTGTGGTTTAGAAAAACCAAGTTGCATATCACTTTTTGCTCAGGATTTGTGTTTTTCTCACCACTAGGACAACAAGGTGAATGGGGTAACCTGCTGTACCCGGATGCTGGGATGTACATACCTCTACCCGTGGATTCTTCCCAAGCCCCACATATCTTCTACTCCTCTTACCATTCAAGATGAATTGCTGATTTTGGGGAACAAAGCACTGTGGGAACACTTGTCGTATTTAGAGGCTGTCAATGCAGTGCGTCATGTGCAAGATCCATTAGCTGCTGCTAAGAAGCTGTGCACATTAGCACAGAGCTACGGTTGTCAGGACAACGTGGGGGCAATGGTGGTTTATTTGAACATTGGTGAGGAAGGCTGCACCTGTGAAATGAATGGGCTCACCCTTCCAGGCCCCGTGGGATTTGCTTCAACTGCCGCCATCAAGGATGCCCCCAAGCCAACCACTCCCTCCTCTAGTAGTGGGATTGCCTCAGAGTTCAGCAGCGAGATGTCCACCTCAGAGGTGAGCAGCGAAGTGGGCTCCACGGCTTCTGATGAGCATAACACTGTGGGCCTGGAGGCTGGCTTGCTTCTAAGGCCAGAGAGGCGCTGTAGCCTGCACCCAGTACCCACTGCAGGAGTCTTCCAGCGCCAGCCTTCTTGTGCTACTTTTTCCAGCAATCAGTCTGACAATGGACTGGACAGTGACGATGAGCAGCCTGTTGAAGGGGTCATAACCAACGGCAGCAGGGTAGAGGTCGAGGTAGACATCCACTGCTGCCGAGGAAGAGACCTGGAGAATTCCCCGACACTCCCAAAGAATTCTTCCACCCTGTGTCCAGAGGAACATGCTAGAGGGTTATTTTTTGGGATCCGAAGACAGAACAGTGTGAACAGTGGTATACTTCTGCCGATGAACAAAGACAAGACAGAGTTACAGAAGTCTCCCTCCACTTCCTGTCTGTATGGAAAGAAACTCTCCAATGGCTCCATCGTGCCCCTAGAAGACAGCCTGAACCTCATTGAGGTGGCTACGGAAGCACCCAAAAGGAAAACTGGCTATTTTGCTGCCCCCACCCAGCTGGAGCCAGAGGATCAGTTTGTTGTGCCTCGTGACCTGGAGGAAGAGGTGAGGGAGCAGATGAAGCAGCACCAGGGAAGCAGGCCTGAGCCCGAGCCCCGTGAAGAGGACCGGACGGAGCTGCCCGAGGAGTTTGACACAGCGCTGTGACACTGCCCCGGGGGCACAGCATGAGGGAGGGCTGTGTGGTACTGGGGAAGGGACCTTCAGGAGTTGCTTTGCCTCAGTGTTTCAAACCATAGATGTGTGGAGTAGAATTTGGAGCCAAAAAGTTGAACGCTATCAGGGTCTGGTTCTGGATGAGCTAGTACCACCATCAGTGTTAAGCTTCACATGGGACCTTCATTGGATTCCCAACATTGCTGGGAGACCGCAGATGTTACTCTGTGTCAGTCCTGCCACCTGCCATTAACCCTTTCTCTCCTAGGATCATTTGAGAATTCGCCTGCCTGGGCAGGAAAGGGATTCCTGTGGAGGAAGTAACTGAAGGTTGATTCCCTTTACTAATTGCTGCTGATGGATCTCTGTGACAGAGAAATCACCTTATGTCTCAGACTAACTAGTGGGGTGTGATGTGACTAGTCACATGGCTTTTCATTCTCTACGAGAATACAGCCTATCAAAATGATGTCTATTGGAGATACAGAACCAATCAAGCAGGTAATTTATGTATGTAATGTTATGTAACGAGAGCACTTTCATTGACTGTGAATCTTTTTTTTTTAATCTGCACTCGAGCCAATCTTCTTAGAGGCAGCCCAGCTCCTTTGTCCATAGGTAGAGGTAACTGAGGGTTGGAGCCTCCTTTGAGGGTACTTGCAGGGGTCCTGGAAATTGATCTGATAAATGTCAGACTATGAACTGAGAAACTCGGGGTGGGAGGACATGGGGAAGGAGTGAGAACTACGACTCCTTCCCCCAAATCAAAAAGAGACTGGGCCCTGGATAAGCTGACCCCTGCCAGGACTAGGATCACAGGGCAAGCTGCTTGTGGATCGGCCTCCTTTCCTACATGTGAGAGCTGGCAGAGCTCTTGACAGGTAGCCTGACACCTTGAGTGACAGCAGGTGGGTCTGCAGCAGGAGACCAGCAGGAACAGGGCAGACAGAGTGCACAGGTTAGGCTTGCTCCTCTCACAAGAGCAGGATGTTTTTCCAGAATGGTGGTAGTAAGTTGAACACTCATTCACCCTGTAGTGTTTGACACTGTGCCCTTCTGAATGCTGCTGATTCTGCTGACATGGGGTTCAGAGCACTGGGCTCAACACCAGGGTAAGAAAGACTGTTCAACTGAGAAATTGCCAAGCATACAGAAAACCTGTAATTTTTTCATATTCCATATAATCATAGAAAATTACAGCTTCTTGTATATTTCTGTTGCTTTTTCCACTAGGTTTACATAAAAATTAATTCCTATTTATTGATACAAGTTTTGGCATTGCTTGATTTTTTTTTTTTACTCAGTGGAAAATGAGCTGTGAAGTTTTAGAATATTACGTAACTAAAAAGTAGATTGGAACAATTTTTAATTTACTTTATCAGAAGCAAATTGTTAAATATAAGATTAGGAGCATGAATTTTTCCTTTATGTTTGGAGAGGAAGTTTTGTTCCAAGTAATACTAAAGAACAGATGATCTTTCACAGATATCCTGTCCTCAGAGACCCTGTGCTCATATGTCCATCAGAGGGTTATGCTGGGCGGGGCGGGGTGCTATATCACTCCACTTGCTACCTAATGTTTAGCCCTCAAAAATTTGAGCTTGAGTCCCAAAGTCATCAGGAACACTTAACTTCCTTCTGTCAAACTACTGTCAGTTACTGGAAAATGTTAGAACTCAGGTCTTTGATTTGAGGTGGGACACAGTAGCTTATACAGAGTTTAGGTGTGTTAGAGAGATGAGAAACTGTGTTGTCACCTTATTTTTGTATGAAGAAAATGAAAAAAAGAAAGAAAATGAGAATAAAGAGAAAACACAAGGTGTGGATGACGTAAGGCAGCCTCCGCAGACCCTTTGAGCTGTAGAACAGTGGTGAAGTTGAGAAATCAGTTATTTGAAAAATAGCACTTCAGTAGCATAGTCTTAGAAGAAATTGTCTTTCTGTGTGAACTGTTTTCTTGTCTTCTATTTGTTTACCACCCCATTCACTAAAATCACCTCAAAACCCAGCTCTGAAATGACCTTGACAGAAGTAAACATCCTTGCTTTTGTGTTAGTGGAACTCTGTGGCTCCAGCATCCTTTGTGGTGGAGTTTTCAGGATTCCTTAGGCTGTGTTGAGAAACCTCAGTGTAGGCCAAACCAAAACCGATGGTTCTGTTTTTGTAATTGCCTTTCTTTCATGTCCTATCACTGCTCTGTATTAAAAACAGAGGGTTAAAAGGCCATAGTCCATTCCCCAAAACATAATACACCCCTCCTGTGACAGTGAGGTGATCGGCTGATGTTGTCTGGATAGGCTGTCAGATGAATAGATCCCTTCCCTTCCTTTACCCGGAGGATGTGTTCTCCAGGTGGCCAGAGGACCAGTTACCTCTTACACAGAGTGCCCACTCTCTGTAGGATTCTTGAGTCTCTGTCTGCATCTACCATTTAATTAATTTAAGAGAATTTCTGAGGCCGGGTGTGGTGGGACAGTGGCATGCAATTGCAAATCCTCACTTGGGAGGTGGAAGCAGGAGGATCAGGAATTCAGGGTTATCCTTGGCTACAGAGAGTTCATATCCAGTCTGGTATGCATTAGTCCTTTCCTCAAAACAAAACAAACAGGGTTTCTGAAGGAAGAACATACCAGGCTGTAGGTGCAGTTCAGGAGGCTCACTGGCAAAGAAAAATGTCTGTGCCCTCCAGCCAAGGTGTTTATTTAACCCAGTGGACAGACAACTGAAAATTCCAGTGTTGATAGGAAATGAAGTTCTGGTGCCGCTCTGGAATCCAGTCGTTGAGCAGACCACTCCTGACACAAGCGAGGCTTGATTACACTACTGTGGCGCATACACGTGCAATAATCAGTGAACTCGTTTCCCTGGTGTACAGAAAAGTCACCTGAGCAGCTGGTAATCTCTGGGTGCTATTACAGTGTGTGTGATGAGTGCTGTTTTCCAGGCCATCAGATTGGGCTGATCCTCTGAATATCCAACAGTGCTCTTCTTTCTGTGTAGACCTTCAGCAAAAGCAGGTACTTGGAAATCACAATCTCACCTTCTCTATCTATTCAATAATTATTAATGAAGAGACCTCCATAAGGGAGCACTTGGCTGTTACCAATAAATGTACCAATTATTAAAGAATCCGTCTCCAAGCCATCTGGTGATGTCTGCAGCATCACTCTAGAACTGTCTTGTGTCACTTTTTACTTCCCTCTGGGTGGAGGCTTTCAGACTCCCCAAGGCAGGTTAATCTTTCTCTCCGGGCAGTGACTTTGCCCTGTGGTTGGGCAAGCACTCTCTAGACTGAGAGAATCAGCTACGTACATCTGCTCTGTACCGTCATTTGGTGATCAGCCAATCAGCATTAGCTCCTTGTATCTAAATCTCATGCACCTCTCCCAGATGCTGTAGGGTTTTCTCTCACTGTTGCCGGTGGATGTCATCCAAACAGTGGGCTCATATCTTTGGTTTTTGTGCAATCATTGTTGTATTGTAGTCCTAAGACTCATTATAGTGTATTTTTGATATTTTTGAAATGTGTTAAATTTTTTAATTCAATAATATGAGCCAGAGCATGTTGCAGCAAATCTATTGTTTGTAAAAAATAATAACAATAAATAAAATAAAATGGGATATCTTTTCCATGCCTTTGCTTTATAAATATTTTATGAAGAACTATAATTATATGCAGAATTAGGTTCTTTACTAAAAGTATGTTTAGGACTTTCATAGTTTTTCTCTAGGGGAAAAAGAAGGACAAAATGCAAAACCTGTTTTATGACACTGCAATCTGTGAGTTAAGACAATGAATAAAATGTTTTCTTTATTATTGATCACTTCATACAGGTACACAAGGAAATATAATCATGTCTGTCCCCCATTTTCTCCCAACTTCCTCCAACACACTCCTTTCAACTTCATTTTGCTTTATAACTTCCTACTAAGTCCAGTTCGTCCTTCCCATAAGAGCATGGTGTGGAACCATGCACTGGGGCATGAAAGACCTACCAGTGACTGTATTCTCCAAAAAGAATTATTATCTCTCCCCCACATGGAAAATAACATGTTTTTTTTCTATTAATCAGCTTTTGTCACTATAACAAAATGTCTGATACAGGCAGTTTATGAAGAGAAAGAAGTTTGTTTAGCTCACATTTTTGAGGTTACTTGGAGATTCTATTAAACTTGTTTTCAGAGAGACGTATGGAATAGTGGAGAAAAGGAAGGGAACACTGCTTAGCCAGACAGACCTAATCAACACTAATCAGTGAGGGGCATCATTAAACCAGATTGACCTTATTTTCTAGCTCAGTTTTGCAGGTTCAGGCATGTACCATCAGGTCAATTCAGGCCTGCTAACATGATGGTAGATAGTGACAGGAACTGCCCAGGAATCCCAAGGGAACCATCTGCCACAAGCATGCTCCCAGTGACCTAAGAACCTTCCAATAGGACCCACCTCCCCAAAACAACAGCCATCCTGTAGACCAAGACTTCAGTCACAGTGGACCCCTGGAGAACACACAGACCATACCCAACCCATTGCATCTTTTTGCTGGAATAGCAACAAAGACACATTCACTGAAGATTCTTTGGTTTATGTTTAAGGAAATGCCACCTATGCATAGTGGCACATGTGACTCCAGCACTTGGGTGGAAGATCAGGAGTTCAAAGCCAGCCATGGCTACATAACAAGATTGGGGCCAGTTTGAGCTATGTGAGACACTCCACAAAAGCTCACTACTGACAGCATAATTCTTAAATGAGGGTTATATCTGAGGAAACTCTACAACTCCTTAAGTAGTCACAGCTGATGGTAACACAGGAGCCAGGGAGCTTACTGGCCCTGGTTGGCATCCCTTCCATAAGGTGGGGCATTAGGACATTAGACTTGGTGAGTGTTGGCTTACAAGTTGATTACCATCCAGTTAAGCCTCTGAATTGGTGCTACCTCTGCCCTCACTGGGTGTCTTCTAGTCTGTGGATTTCAAGCAAGATCAGCTCCCCTCAGGGTGTGTGCCAGGGAAGCACTGAATCTCCGCTTGATACCTCTGACCCTCAAGACACTTACATGGGCTAGGATGGCAAAAGTGATGTTTCCAAGTTTGTTCTCCGCTTTGAGTGGTAGCCTCTGGTGTCCCAAAGGCCACAAGAACTTGTCTGTTACTTGTAACACCCTTTAGTGTGAGTCAGAGGGTCAAGTATGTATGTATGTATGCATGTATGTATGTATGTATGTGTGTGTATGTATGTATGCATGTATGTGTATATGTATATATACACACACAAGATCTATTTTTTAATTATGTGTATGTATGTGTGGGTATGTGCACATGTGAGTGCAGGAGTCTGTGGAGTCAGAAGGGTATCAGGTCCCAGGAGCTTAAGTTACAGGAGGTTATGAAGCTCACAATCATGTTCTGGGAAAAGCAGCAAGTGCTATTAACAGCTATCTCTAGCCTGTATCCAGGCCTTATCTCTGCTGCATAAGCACTCTGTGCCTAGGAAAGTTAGCCCCGTGTTAGCAGCTTTTGTCATTAAACAGAAATGACAGCGTCTCTCCTTGGTGCCAAATGCAGCCAGAGTGGTAGGTGGTGCTCTTACCGAGTAATGCCACTCAGTGATCACTGTTAAGAAACATCTGCCCTGCCCTTCTTGGACCTTGTCATCTGTGACACTCAGATAACAAGTCTTCAAACGCCTGACACATAGTGGATCCCATCAAGTTTGCTAGAGCGTTTCCACCCTGAACTCCGGACTGATAGCACTGTGATTCCTCACTGATGGCCTCCAGTCAGAAGAGGGGCTCCTGCTCAAGAGCCAGCTGGGAAGGGCTGGGGTCATAGGTCAAAGTCTCCTTTATCTGGTGAAAGACCCCAGGTGAGCAGAAGAATACCCAGAAAATAATGATGGCGCGTGGGGTGCTAGTCTCTTGCTCAGGTGCACAGTTTGGATTTGTTCAGTCTTCTTTGCCACCCATCAAGTGTGGGCACTAGTCAATGCTCAGGCCAAGGGCGACAGTGAAGCTGACATTCAGACAGTAGAGATTTCTCGGTGGCTATTTCCCCCTCAGTTTTGCTTCATTCTTACAAGAGTCCTTCGTTTTTATTTTACATTTGAATGTTTGCCTGTCTGTATGCATGTGCATGATCTGTGTGTCTGGTGCCTTCAGACGGCAACTTGGGGTGTTGAATCCCTGGAACTGGAGTTACAGATGGTTGTGCCATGTGGGTTCTGGGAATTGAACCTGGGCCCTCTGCAAGAGCAGTAAAGTGCTTTTAACTGCCTAACCATCTCTCATCCACTTCTGCATGAGGTTTACTTTTGACAGGCCCCACAAGAATTACCTATATGTGTGTGCCAGTGTGCAAATACTATGTTGTGCCCAATATGTGTGCGGAGTGTGCAAATACTATGGTGTGCCCAAGGAGATCAGAGGGAGGCCATTCCTTTTCCACCATGAGGACCCCAGGGATCAGACTCAGGCCTTCAGGCTTGGCAGTAGATACCTTCACCTGCTGAACCATGTCTCCAACCATTGAAGACTTGTGTTTTAAAAAAAAAAAATCAAGTCAATTAATACCACCCTCCTCCTCTGCACACACCTACATGGAATAGCTAGTGGAAAACATTTCCCCTGGCCTGTGAGGCTGGAATCCTACAGAGGAATCAAGAAGTCCCTTCCCGTGTAAGCAGCCCAACCCCTTCTCCATCTCTGCTGAACTGCCATGGTACCCTCTAACATTGTAGCTCTCTCTGGGAAAGAGAGGAAAACAGTTACTGATTGGAGCCCAACCCTACAGCTGCCAAGTACAACAGTGCCCTGTGACCCATTTTTAGAAAAGGTTTTAAATTTTATTCATATGACTGGTTGCCTGCTTGTGTATGTGTACCACATTCATGCAGTGCCCTTGGAGTCCAAAGAGGAACTGGAGTTCTAGACGGTGGGGGGTCATGTGGGTGCTGGGAAGGGAACCTGGGTCCTGGGTAAGAGCAGCCAGTACCTTTGACAGCTGAGCCCTGTCTCTAGCCTTTTAATGTTTTCTGCTATGGCTATGTTTACAGTGGAGGGAGGATTTCTCCTCTAGCTCTGCACATGCTACCCTCTGATGTGTTCTCAGGCTCGCAAAATTTCCTTGGCTAGTCTCCTACGTAACACTATCACCTCACCACGTAGCAAGAGCCCCTACCACGAGGGCATACCCAGGCTTGCCAGATGGCTCTTTCCGACAAATACGATGTCCCTCTGACCCCAAGCTTTCATGGGGTGGGCCAAATTCACAGCTAACCGCTGCTCTGGCACCTGGGGGAGCTTGGGAAATCACGGTTGTCTACCCGTGTGTTTGTAAGGGAGGAGCAAAGGAGAGTTCAGATTTCCTTAGAGTGTCCCAGACCACACGTATTCTGGGACATCACTGTAATTTTGGTGCTGATTCTGACTGTCTTTGTAGCGCTTCTGTTCTCGGTAGCACCGCAGGGCTAGCACCACGCTGGCAGCGTACATAATCACCAGAAGGCAAGCGAAGGTGGCCGCTGCCCCGTCGGTGCCTGCCAGCTGGCAGTTCATCCAGGTGAGACCCCTGCGGGCATAGAGCCTCTCTCTGGTTTTGCAAGTGTCGGTGGAATTGATGCTCAAGGCAGCGTGCAGGTAAATGCCAATGCCGACACAGTAGCCTACTGCGGCCAAGAGGCTGAAGGCTGCCTCCAGCAGCAGCCACCTCCCGGGCAGCTTCCTCAGACTCTTGGCTCCCTGCAGTAAAGCTCCCATAGTGAGGACGCCCAGCCCTAGGGAAACAGCCACACCACCATAGATCAGGGGCGACCGCAGGATCGTGTACTGCTGGTCCAGCTGCCGAACCTGCTCCAGCTCCGTGCCCTCAAAAGGTGAGTAGTAGTTGTTCCCGAAGCCGCTGCCGCTGGCAAAGCTGGCGCTGAATCCGGCCAGGACAAAGTAGGAGGCCACGATGCATATGAGAACCATGCCATTCAAAATCACCTCCACTATCTGCACCACACCTGGGGGAAGAGAGAGTCTGATTTAAGGCACTCACCAGGTCAACTGGGGATCCCCTGGGTCCGAAGATGACCGATTCTGTTCAGCAGCATTATCAATATTCTTGGCTTTGTCTTAAAAAACAAGCCATTTAAATTCCTAGTGCTTGTGGTGGGGCCCAGGACACATGTGTGTTAGGCAATTGCTCTGCTGGTGGGCTGTACATCAGCCCGGTTGTTTCTAAAACATATTTTTTTTTTAAAATATTGCCGGTTGCATGGGTTGAGCGAGGGCTCAGTGCTCAGACAGAGCACTTGTGACTTTTGCCTAGGACATGGGTTGGGTTCCCAGCACCCACACAGTAGCTCACAACCTCTGTAACTCTGGTTCCAAGAGATCCCATGCCCTCCTCTGACCTCAGTGGGCAATAGGTATGCAAACATTGCAAATGCAAAACCCTCTTGTATATATAAAATACACATTCTTATAAAAAATCAAATGTCAACCTTAAAAACTTGGAGACTTAAAAACTTTAATTTTTTTTTTTTTTTACATAGGGTCTTGTTTGTAGCCCAGGCTGGCGTTGAACTCCTTATCCACCTGCCTTAGCTTCGTAAGGTGTGTAGTACTGTAATTGGCTTAGAGTAGCTTAAAAAGTTAAATATATGTGTACCATGTGGCTCTGCCATTAACCCTAAAGAAATAAAGTTGTTTGGTAGTTTGAAGAGGAGGGCCTTCCGTGGAGGCCAGGCTGGGCTACACACTGAGAGCCAGCCTCAAAATGTAAAAAAGGAAGGAAAACACAAAAACATGTTTGTGAGTCTTCATAGTAGTAGCTTTATTTGTAACAGGTGAATGCTGGGAGAACTTGAGCAGTGACCCCCACTCCTCGCCCCCAGGGAATGCCCTATGCAGCAATAAACAGGGCGAACCTGCAACAACTGGGTGAATTTCAAGGTAATTATGAGTGCATGGTGGGGGCGGGGGCAGTTCTGGTCTCAAAAGGCTACATGATTCTGTATGATTCTGTCTGTGGAACAGTCTCAGTGGGACAGACCTGGTGGTGTGGCACACGGGCGGTGACTGGGACAGGGATGATTGGGAGACAGGAAGAAAGGGTGGATGTGGCTGTGGGGTAGGCACAGCGCTGGAGGTGTGTGCTGGAATGGAGTGTCTCTGGGTTTCATTGTGGTGAGCAAACTAATACAGCGACAACACTGCACGGATGAGTCCGTGTGTAACAGGCGAAAACTACCCAAGCTCTGAAGATCACCACTTCTCTGGGTCCCGCTACCCTCATTCACGGCACGGCTGCAGAGAGCTCCCACAGGGTACAAAAGGCCACTCTGCACTGCCCTGTGACTTCTTGTGAGACTTCAAATGGGAAGTTCGGGGGGGGAGTTAATGTCATGAAGGATAAACTGAAAATGTTCATTCATGCTCTCCCCTCCCCCAAAGAACAATCTTGCTGTGTAACCCAGATGACCTCATCCAGCCACCCCGACTCCTAGCATCGTCATAACTCTCTAATACGCCCCTGCTTCTTCCTGTCTCTGTTTCTCTGTGTGCGTGTGTGTATGCACGCGTTCATGCGTGTATTTATGCATGTTTGTGGTGGGAGGTCATGCATATACACATGTTGAGTGTATGAAGGTCAGAGGACAACCTCAGGTGTCATTCCTCAGGTGTTCCCATCTTTTCTTGGAAACAGGTCTGTCACTGACCTGGAACTTCACCAAAAAGGCTTGAGTAGCTCGCTACCAGTGAGTTCCAGGGTTCCACCACCTCCGCCTCCCACGGACCACAGGCGTTCCCCACTGAGCCTGGCTTTTGACACACACTCTGGGGGTCTGAACTGAGGTTGTTATACACATGAGGCAAGCACTTTGCCCACGGCCATCTCCTCAGCCCACTTTCCAGTTTTTCTCTATGCAAATGAAAACATTCGAATCTATGTCACACCCTCCTCCTCCCCCGTCCCCCCAACATAAATGTAGCGCATACAGCATCAAGCATCCTGCTGGTATCATTTACTCTGTGCCAGCGATATCTCTAGGTCAGTCTGCCTGGTGGCCACATCATTTGTTACATGACTTCCAGCTGGCTTGAGTGGATGGACCAGTTTGCTCAACCAGGCTCCTACAGAGAGACACTCAGGCTGTATGTGCGTAGGGAGTTTCTTAGAAGTCTGTCAAATCTCCAGATTCCACAAGGCAGTGAGAGCCACCAGGTGGGCCAAGACTGAACGCCTCTTGTCTGTTGTCTGTCCTTGTCACTGGCTCCCTGCAGAAGCTTCAGGCTGCACTTCTAGCTTCTAGAAGTTTGCTTATCATCCTCTGGGGGTGCAGAGGCAAGAATGCAAATGAACCCTGAATTCGAATACTCTTTACTAGTCAATGACCCTGCCTGGCTCACTGAAGTCCTTCTAAGCCTTAGACATTTTATCTGATGAATGAAGATAAGGCTTCCAGCACCACCTGCCTCCCTCTCCCATGGATCTGTGGGAAGGGTCAATGTAAGGGGGAGCAGTCAGCTCCCCTAGTTGCAGCTTCTGCATCAGAAGATTCCACTAAAGATTGAAAAGTGTCTGGAACAAAGCAGGCTTTTTCTTAGCAGTGTTTGCTAAACAATACATTTTAGCAACTGTTTGCATAGCACTTACATTGTTAGGAGTAAGTAATGCAGGGATAGCAGAGAGCTATAGCTATACACCAATACCATGACATTTTTATACAGGAGACCAGAGCACTCTCAGATTTAAATATTGGAGGGGACTCTGGGGCCAATCCCTATGGATGCTAATAAATGACTAAAATTTCTTGGAACTTACAAATGGATGGTAAGGCATCTCTGTAATATTCTAAAACAGGAGGAGAGCAGTATGAAATGTGAGAAGAAATGGGGAGAATTTTGAAAAAGTGCTGTTTCCCAGAGATTAAGAAAACTATGCATTACACTAATGGGCACCATGTTTATCACAGGGCAGTTAAGGGGCAGCTGCCGGTTCTACAGTCTTCAGGCACAGCTAGCTGAACCTATCTTCTGCAAGCCCACGGGAATTCCTGAAAAGCCAGGGGACGCAGCAGCGTGGGGATCTGGGAGTTGAGAAACTGTATTGCTCTTATTTAAAATTCAACATCAGATTAAAACTGCCCACTCTTCAACCAGGCTCTGTAAGTACAGCAAACGATGAACCAGCCCAGATGTCACTGGTAGGGGGCAGCTGCTGTCTCCCACACTCCACATCCTTCCCTACCCTGATTTTCCTTCCATCAGTATGTAGAAACAGAAACACTGTGCTGATACAAGAGGTGGGAAACATGACCCCTTTCCTTGTGGTACACACAGCACACATCTCTTGGCTGGCATGGAAGAAATCTAGGCTTCCATGTCTTCTGCTAGGTGCAGTGGTAACAGGGTTTATTGAAGGAATACGACTACAGGGATGATCCCGGACACCAACTAGCCAGACCCGCCTTAGCCAAACTACTCCTCGCACAGTCACAGTATCTTTAAGCATGCTGCTAATGCAGAAAGATACACTAGAGGAAAAGAAAACAAGGAGGCATTGCAATCTGTCTAGAGTAGGGATGGGTCAGGCTTGTGGAAACAGAGACTCTGAAGACCCCTGGGTCTTTGCTAAAAACAGCAGCTTGCTGAGCAAGGCTGCCTTTGTGACTGACCATGTAGCACTCTGCTTAATTCTGCATCAGTTTCTGCCATTGCACTGTACGTAACTGTTTTAGGGTGAAAAAAATCCAGGCAAGCAAGCCAGTTTGATCTTTTTATTTTGAAAAATAAAATGAATATGTGCAGTAAAGATACCTATAGAATTAAAAATAAAAAAGTCTCCATTTTTCTTTGAGCAAATTCAAGAGTATTTCTAACCATGTACAACAGAGGTATGTAATTCTGTCCCTAAACCCAAAGTCTTCTAAATCAATCAATGGCATCTAAGTGAATAATGTATTATGAACATAAAGAAAACTGCTGCTTCCAAATTTAAAAAATTTTCTTTGAAATGCTTGGATTCCTGTCAAACAGTGAACATATTCACTTGTACCAGAATATACTGCAATGGTTCCAGGCTGTAATTCACATAGTCCAGTCCATGAAGTTATCTGACCAAAAGTAACATTCCTCTGTTGGGAAAAAGACTTCACATTCTTTTCTTTTGGGTAGATCCTGAATACCAGCTGTGGGGTTGGAGTCTTCATACAATGGCACATTTACGAGAGGTACAAATGCTTATTGAGTGCTGGGGCCTGTAAGGGGCCTGTAGAATGGCTTCTTTGCAGCTCAGTGAATTTAATCTGATTCTCTTTTCCTTACCGCCCGCCCTCACACTTATGTTTTTCTGGGGAAGTGTCCTCCAGAATCCACAGAGTTGAAGGAGTACAGGGACCAGATACTTGGTGTGGAAGGCCGGGAGCATCTACCGAAGAGAGCCGAGTTTAGAAGAGACAGTCTCAGTCAATGTAGCTTTTTGTGAACTCCAGGAATAAGTTTCCAATGCAATTGTCCCTGCCCTGATCATGAAGTACACTTTGCTTTCCTCCTGCGGGTCCTGGCCTCTACTAGCTCCTCCTTTGTCTGGCTTGGAGACAGGGTCTTACTATATATCCCAGGCTAGCCTTGAACTAAAGATTCTCCTGCCTCCACCTTACAAGTGCTAGGATTATAAGATTACAAGCCTGTACCACCATGCCTGGCTCTAGTATTTTGGGTTTCAATATATTTTTGGTTCCAGAAACCAGAGGAACACAGCTCCAGGCAACCAGGAGCTAAACCTAGCATATCTACACTAGCTTGGTATTTTGGAAGCATTAGTGAGTTCCACATCAAAGAATTCTTGTGGAAGATTATGGTTGAAAGTGACTTCGATCATGTACACTCGGCAGAACATTCCAGAAGTCTAAAACTCAAGCATTTCTGTGGGCTTCTCCTTCAGCTTCTTGACTTTTCGGTAACCCCTAAAGGCCAGGACAGCTCCCATGGTGAAGACCACAATGCCCATGGCTGCAAAAACTCCTGCTCCTATATCTCCGCCATGGGTACCACAGTTGAAGCCACTGTAACCTTTGCTCTGGTACAGGGCCTCCCTCTCCTTGCACACATCCGAGCTATAGGCAGCAGAGAGGTGTTGGAAGAAGAAGTACAAGGCTGGGAGGTATGCCCCAGCGATAAGCACGTCTATCACGCCCTCGATCACCAGACACAGTGGACAGTGCCACGGGACCCGCAGGACACCCCCGAGGATGAGGAGGCAGGAGAAGGTCATGAGGGCTCCGCTGTAGGCCATTGCCGCAGTGACCGTGGGCAGCTTGAGCTGATAGAACTGCACATCCAGCTGTTGGGCTTTGTCCCCGTCAGCACCACTGAAGCCGCTGTAAGCCCCTCCGTACTGGTAGTAGTAAATCCCCCCCAGGCTGGTGATGCCCGTGTAGCCCCCTGTGGAACTGTAAGAGATAGAGCTGCAGGCCAAGATCAGCAAGTTCAGCAGAACCTCCAGCATCTGGCAGCAGGCTGTAAGAAAAGGGTGTTACTGCTCCAAGATGCTGTTTTTGCACTAGGAGACTCTTCACCAGCCTTCCCAGGAAGCTCAGCCCACTGGTTCCTTCTTCTGCCCACAGCCGGCAGTGTAGGCTGCAACAGTTAGTGTCAGGTGGCAGCAGGGATACTTTCTTTTCTACTAAAAAGCATAAGGCTAAAAAAAAAGCCAAACAGGGCTGGATGGGGTGCCGCACACTCCCCAGTACTCAAGAGGCAGAGTCAGGTAGATCCCTGAGTTCAAGGCCAGCCTAGTCTGCAAAGCGGTTCCAGGACAGCCAGGACTGTTACATAGAGAAACCCTGTCTCAAAAAACAAAAACAAAAACTAACAAACAAAAAACCAAGTGGAGATGGCTGTCAGTAAAATGCTTGTCTTGTAAGCATGAGAATCCATGTTTGCTCCCCAGCACCCATGGTATCATAATGAATTTAACCACTTCAGTGGGACGAAAGGACATGCAGGTTTCTCCAGTGCATTCCTATGTGACAAAACTTTTTGTGGTACTAGGGATGGGAACCCAGGGCCTCACATGTTCTTCACCTCCTGCTGGAGAGACTCTCCTAATGGAGCACAGGAGGGGTGGAGCCCTCACAGAGCTCCTCCCTCCTCTGTCAGGCTTAGTAGATCCACAAAAGCATGAGCGGGCTGTGCAGACAAAGTGGCTTGGGGCTCACAGGCCTTCGGAGGCCTTTGCTGACTCTGGAGCCCAAGATCAGCAGTTCAACCTCTGGCTCAGTCTCCAGACCCCCCACTCGAGTCAGCTGCACTTGGGAATCCTGGCACAATCTCAGTACTGTACTGGTACTGTATTAGGGCATTAATTATTAAGAAGGAGAGATTGAAAGTATAAATTAGGAAAAGGCCCTTTTGAGGGGATCACAAGCTAATGCACTGGCGGCATGGTCTGACAGAACCCTCTCGGCTGGGATGGTGTGATGGTTGATGGTGACGGTCAGCTTGATTGAACTGGCAAGAACCTGGGAGGTTGGTAAGTCTGTGGGGTTTCCAGAGATAAAGCAGAAGACCCTCCCTTAACGTGGGCAGTACCAAGCAACAGGCTAGAGGCTCTGATGGAACACAGATGGGAAAGAGGTTCTCCTGCAGGAAGGTCATTCTTCCCTGTCCCCTCCTCCGCCTCTGCTTCCTGGCCACCAGGAAGTGGACCGATCCCAAAGACTCTCTCCCTGTCTTGATGGGCTGAAACCTCTGAGACTGTGACCCTTGATCTCTGAGGTTGTTTTGCTTGGATGTATTTTTTTTTATTACAGCAACATTTCGGGTTGTATTATGTATCCAAAGCTATGTAACACATATACATGCATCCACAGAATCAACTTCCTCTTAGGAAGCTGTTCCTTTGAAATGCAAACCCCAAATACTCTCAGCAGCTACACTTAAAGGTTCTAAGCCAAATAGCAGCACTCCTGACAACAGAAGTGCCAACTCTAGGTGCTGGAGAGTGCCTCTGTGCCTCGATGAGAAATCAGACTTTCAAAGACTTTGCAGCAATGGCCAGAAGCTATCAATAAGAACAAACCACTGTGACTTACAGACTAAGCTTCCAAGGCCAAGGCGGGGAGGGGGAGGAAGTGTTCCATATGCAAATGAGCTGAGCTAGCCCTACACCTGTCCCTCCAAACAGCCAACCAGCAGAATCTACACCCACAAGAGGCCTGGGGTGCGGGGTCAAGGGAAGCCTGTGTGTGTACCTGCTCTCAATCTGATATTTCCAATCCCTAAAGATGTTTCTGTCTGAGATTTCTTTCTTGAAAAAGTGAAGTTGGCATTCATCTCTTTCTGTTGGTCTGAAAGTTCCATTGAACTTTCTAGGGGTGAGTCAGACCAGACTTCAGAGTGTCCCCAGAGGACCACAGGGCGGGGAGAGGAATGGCATGATTTCATTGACAAAGAAAAAGCCACAAAGCGTCCACTCTCCTGTGGACGTAAATGGCTCCAGATAACCTGCATCCGGGCTTGTTTCCCCTGCTCTAGCCAGTCCGGAGGCAGATGGCTGTCTTTCCACACCCCCGATGCACCTGTGTGGAAGCTCCAAACACCGGCATCTTCACAGCTACTATCTGTAGTTTCTGAGGATTGAACCATCTCCAAGCTTTCCAAACCTGGACTTCCACACCCCACCACCAGGCTCAATATCCAGAAGCGATCAACCCTGGATTTCTAGGTGTGTTTTGGTCAGAAGCCTAGGCTCTCCCTGCCCTTTCTTCTTGGTAAATGAATCACAGAAATGGGGGAAGAAATGAAAACTTGTCAGCCAGCAGAAAGCTTGTTTCTGTTATTTACAGCAACAGAGAAGAACATTCTGCAATGAAAGGCTTTGAGGCCTTAAGCTGGAGCTCCAAGCTTCAATTCCAGTACCTTCAACTGAACTGGGCTGTGTGACCTGGGTAGCTAGCTGTGCCTCTCTGAACCTTGGGGGTTATCAAGAGGATTAAAGACATCACTGGCAGTAGCATATGTAAACCAGCTGATGTATGTAAACCAGCTGATGAAGATCCTTGTAGCCAGACGGCTTAGAGGCCTTTCATCTAAGTTCTTCAAAATCCTATAATCGCTACTCCTTCAGCATCCCCTGGGGCACAGCTCCAGCTGTTGACTCCATGATGTCCCCCTGTAGGCTGGGATGTTTCCACACTTAGTCACAGGCAGCCTCAGCAGACTAACCACAGTCCCCGCACCATCGGGTTCACCCTGACAAACCAGATTTTCTTCCTTGCTGGCAAGACCAGGACCTGGGAGGCCAGGCTGGTAGCTGGTAACACTAGCGAGAGTTTTAAAGTTGATTTTGTTTTGTTTAAGTTGAGACAGTCTCCTATAGCTTAGGCTGGTCTCTGAACTCCTGGTCCTCCTCTATCCACTGACCGTATGCCACCACGCCAGACTTTTATTTATTTCTTAACTTCATTTGTGTGTGTGTATATGGCATGTGTATGGAGGTCAGAGGACAACTTGGGAGAGTTGGGTCTGTCCTTCCACCAAGTAGGTCCTAAGGATTGAACTGGGATCATCAGGTTTGGCAGCAAGCACCTTCATCCCTGAGCCATCACGCTGGTCCCTGGCTTTTGTTTTTAATGAAAGAGAAAATATTAATGCACTTGGTGTGCAGAAGGGTTAAGTAGTTTTATGACACTTTTGTTTTTCTCTATGTATAAATCTGATTTTGATTGTTATTTGAGACAGGGTCTTGATATGTCACCCAAACTGGTCGAGAACTCATAGCAACCCTGCCTTAGCTGGGATTACAGACATGTAAGTCACCATGCTAAGCTGTAAATCTGGTCTTAATGTAAATCTATTCTTATTGTACATCTCAGTGGATGGGGAGTAAAAGCCAGTGACTGACTGCTTGGCACCGGGTCTCTCAGGAGACCATCCATCCCTGTTCGGTTTGAGGAGCAAGCTGATGTTGCTGCGGGCATGATGTTTCCTCTGTGGAGCTTGCTATGCCAAAGGCGCCACTGTCCACCACAAGCAGCTCCCAGCACATTGAGCGTACCAAGTTCCACCAGGGGGTTGACCCATGCTCAGAGCCAGGCACATTGAATAAGCTTCAGGAGCTTCATTGCACAGTTCAGACCTTCCTGTCTTTTTTTTTTTTTTTTTTTAGCAAGAACCCCATGCATACATGGAAATGAGAATACTAGGAATCCAAGGGGAAAACTCAATGGGCTTTCAATTCAGCAACCCATACCCCTCCAACCCTGACCTTGCCTCTCCTCAAGCCATTTGGAATATAAATGGTCAGATGGGGTCCCCCAAGTCTTACCTCTTCCGGAGCACAAGTATCTGCATTTGTGGCATTCCAGGAGCCCCTCAGCTTCAGACTGGTAATATTCCTCTTCCTGTCTTGCAGGACGGGAGTGTACGGACACATATCTTTCCGAAGCAAGTTCACTGTAACCAAGGAGCACAGACATTAGGGACAGGACAGCAACTCAGTGATTTATTAAGACTTCATTTATGTTTTTTTTTAAAAAATACATTCCTCAGTATGCAGCCTAGGCTTACCTTAAACATGTGATCCTCCTGCCTCAGCTTCCCAAGTGCTAGGTCACAGATGTGTGCTACCATGCCCACTGGTACTAGAACTCCTAACTAATCCACTTGCCTCCACCTTCCAAGTGTTGGGATTATAGACGTGTACCATCACACCCAGCCAGGCTGCTTTTGAGGTCTTTCTGCCATTCCTTCCTTGGCCACCCCTGGAGCCTTCTGTTTCTTCTTGTCTTTCCTTTTATTTAATACAGCCTGGGCTCTGCCCAAGATTCAGCAGGAGGCTGCATTCCACTTGGTGGGTTGGGGGAATTTTCCAGGACACAGAAGTCATCCCACCTTTCTTTGGTGTGAAATCCTTACAGCTTTGGTCAGTGCAGAGAAGGTTCTTGCGTTGTACACACTCACAACCTAGGCTCGCTGAGCCAGCAGCTCAGTGTTGTTTTTTCTGTAGGAACGATGACACACTGGCCATCTGCCTGCACCAGGCTGAACCCTGACGGTAAATTACTGCATCCCCTCCTTCCAATAAATACTTGAGAGGAGGACAGGCAGACTCTGCCCTTTGGCTCAAATCTCTAAATACGAAATGAACAAATGCATTTCTTTCATCCACTTTGGGGTGAGATGGGGTAACCAGGGCTCTGGTTTATAAGGAAACTTGCAAATGTACTTTTGCTTGTACACCTGTGGTTGCGGTTCGAGATGGGTGCAGTCAGGGAAGCGATAGCTGGTGTCAAAGATTGAAAGAGCAGACTGAGTCTGGACACAGCTTTTGTAATGCTAGTTGGTTTTAGATAGTGAAACATAAACTCATGATAGCAGATTTCCCTGGTGTGTGGACACAGCCTCTAAGGCTAACAGCAGAGGCCAGGTATCACAGTATAGAACCTGGTATCAGCTGGGAGGGTTGTCTCTAGGGAAAAGAATGCCCACAGTTTTGACAACTGCTCAGACGGCCTTGCAAGACAAACTGGAGCTGAAGTGGGCAAGATGCGCGCGCACGAAAAAGACAGTCTCACCCAAGGGCTTGTTTCTTGGTTCTGCAGAGCCTGGCCCCTAGTCGGCACATTGACTAACATCTAGGGATTGGACGGCATGCTAACTCTCTAGGAGGGGGGTGTGGCGACCAGGCCACCTGTGGTCCTCCTTTCTATTCCCATTCACAAACTTTCCAGGACACAGGCGCTTAGGGGAGTTTCGGGTCCTACTGGTGAAGTTCGTTCATTCGGGTTCAAACAAGCACAAGATTTGAAAGAAGCTACTTGGAAAGACCTCACCCACAAAGGGGTTACATACCCACTCGAGACTTCAGGCGGCCTTGGCTTCTTGTTTAAAAGTGCAAAAGTCTGCTGTGCATATGGCCTTGGCAGGAGGAGCAAGTCCAACCATTAACTCTTTGTTGGGCTAACTTTGTTCAGCCCACCTCCCCCTCGCCCCCGCTCCGACACCTGGAAACTGGGCTTTGAAAGGTGTGAAGGGCTAACTTGAGAGCAGGGTGTAAGAGTCTGTAGTCTTAGCATAGGCATCCGGCCTCTAGCTAGCCCCACCCACTTAGCCTTCTAAACCGTTCCGGTTTCGGTGCTGAAACTCTTTCTCCTGGTTCCAGGACCTTCCCTTTCTCCTTGGGTAATCAAGTTCAAACAAAGGGTTGGGGACGTCGCAGTGCCACCCCTGCGCCGGCTAGGGTAGGCACGGTCCGGGGTCCAGCAGGTGCACCGCTCACCTGTCCAACCCGCGGCGCCCAGGGCTCTGCTTCGGCCGCGGCTCCGGGGCTCCCCAGGGCGCGGGCCCGGGGGCCGGGACTGTGTCCCAACTGGGTACCCAGGGCTCCGGCCGCGCACGGCTTTGGCGGGGCTTCTCCCAGGCTCTTGGTTCTGCTGCACGATGGCCCGCGTCCCTGTGTCTGTCCTGGCGCGGGTCTCGGTCGGTCCTCCGTTCCCTGCCCGCTCGACGGTCCCCGTTTCCTCTCACGTCCCCGTTCCTCTCCCTGTGCCTGTCCCCGGCTCGGTCCCGCGGCCGCTCGACGTGGCGGTCTCGGTCCGGGTGCGGGCGCCTGTCTGGGTCTCGGTCTCTCGGACGGGCCCGGGGCTCGCGAGTCCCCAGAGTATCTTCCATGGCCCGGTTCTTGTCCACGCCCGGAAACGACCCGAGAGCAGCAACCGACCACAAGTTTCCCAGGCAGGTGGCCAGGCTTAAGAACCGGGCAGTGGCTGCTCACCTGTGCGCACGCGCACTCGCCCTCCGGCAGTCCGGAGAGGAGACCTGCCCCTGGCCGCCAGGGGGCGGTGTCGTGGTGCCCGGCGGAGGAGGTGGGAGTGGAGGTGGGGGACAGGTTCTTGTTGAGATAGCTGTCAGACCTAGGTGTTATGGAATTAACAAAGGTTAAGTGGTTCAGAGAACAGGTGATGGGATGTGGTCAAATCAGCTCAGCCTTCAAACGCTGTCTCTTACGTAGAGACATCAGGAAACCGATCAATCATCTGCTTATTTACTTTCGTGATACTGGGTTTTAATCCCAGGACTTTGCATGTCTAGGTAAGTGGGCTTCTGGGCTACATCCCCAGTTACAAACTAAGGCCATTAAGCCCGCTAAGACAGTTTCGTGCCGCTGGGCATGGGTTTGTGCCTTCTGATAGAGAGCTTAGCAGTGGGAGGAGTTGGTAACTTTGCTGGCTGCTCTCAGTTTGGGTGGAGTGACTCCACTCCCAGCCAGTGAAGCTAGCAGCGGAGATTGCCTGTTGATCAACGTACAAAGCATCTTGGGCTTGCTTCCCCAGATTATGCCCATCCAGTCAATCATCCATCCTTAGCCATCCACCAGCCAGCCCTATATCCACTCACTCACTCATCCAGCCTCCCATACACTGTTCCCCTCTCTCCTTAGAGAAGCTGTGTTGTCAGTCCGTCTATTGGAATAGTCCCAGACTTATAAAATACTTAAAAAAGAATTATTGTATTCATAATCATCAGTCTTTAATTTTGCCAAGCAAGGACATTAAAAAAATACCCAGAAAACTGGCCTGTTAGTTCTTTCAGCAAGTGTTTAGGAGCACCTGACTCAGACGGTGCAGGGGATGCTGCAGGGAAGCCCCTTGGACAGGGTTAGTGCTCTGGTGTGTGCAGAGGCTGGACAGGAATGTGCAAAGGCAACACTCGGAAATTAGTGGGAGGACTCTGCTCTGTGTGGAGCGAGGAATCGGTGACTTGGGAGTCTGTTCTTAAATTGCGCTTTCCAAGATAATGGGGCTCTGAGGGAGTGCCTGCTTGGAGACCCACTCTGACTGTCGAGCTGACCCCTGTTTCCCAGATGTGAGTCTGGTGATATCCCCTGTGTCTCCAGCCCTTACCATGGATGCCTGGGACGGAACACAAGCTCCAGCTGGGCTGAGAGATGTCCCCTGGGTGGGCTCTGAAGGAGGGCTATAGCAGCAGGCAGTGCCTTTCCTGAGCTTTACATACAGTACTGTTTTAGCATTTCATGTTTCATAGCTGTAAGTGCATCCCTCTGTGGCTCCCATCCATGCAGTACAGGTGTTGGGGGGCAGCCAGAAGTCATTGTGATCCCCAAAAGAGTTGCAATGGGCTCATCCATGCAGTTTCCACTCTGCTTTGAGAATGCTATGAACTGGTCTCCTGGCCACTTCTGCAGAGGCTTTGGTGCCAAACCCCATGCCAGGCTCTGCCAGTGTTACCACTAAGGCTACAAGATGCAGAGCTAGAGCCTCACAAACTCCAGAGGACTGCCCTCCCTCATCCCTGCATTCATCTAAGGCTCTATTACCACCGCGCAGAATGTTAACCTCTAAGATCTCTTTTCTGCCCCTACCCAGTAGCTTAAAACCTGAGTCACCAGTTACCAGGGGTGGAGCACACCCGCAGTTCCAGCCTAGGATCTCTGTAAACCTCGTGTTGGAAGGTTGAAGCAGGAGGATTGCCACCAGTGTGAGACCAACCTTTGTCTGCATAGTGCGCTCCTGGCTAGCCAGGGCCACATAGCAATAATTGTCTCAAAAAAGGGGGTTGTGTCTCACCGGTAACAAGTGTGTCTCGGGCCCTCGGTTCAATCCTCAACACCACCAGAAAATCACAAAGGAATTACACTGGGCTGAGAAGATTGCCCAATGAGCACTTTCTGCTCAAGTGTGAGGCCTTGAGTTCAGATGCCCCAGAACCTGTGTAAAGCTGGCTGAGGCAGCTCACAACTGTATCCAGGCACTCCTACAATGAGTGGGAAATGGAGATAGGAGACTTCTCCCAGAAGCCAGCCTGGTGTATGCAGTGGTGAACAAGAAACCCTGTCTAAACAGGTGCAAAAAACCTAGTATACACGCCCAAAACTGTCCTGTGACCTCCACACATATGCCATGCTTCAAGCTTCTGGAACACAGTGAAGGGGCAGCCGCCGGCAGACATTTTCACCACAAAAGTGAGAAGCGGAAAGGAGGAGGGGGGAGCGCGTGCCAGCCAACCCTGAGCCAGCCGGGCTTCCCTCAGACTGCTCTGCCCAAGCCTGGCTGTCCTGGCATGCCTTCCTGACCACTGTCTCCTCTGACTTTCATCTTCTTCCCAGGGCTCAGTTCACTCAGTAAATATTATATATTTGTGTTCTTATAAATGGGTCTATTGTTTGGCTGTACCTTGCAGAGTAAGTTCCACGAAGGCGGGGACTTACCGTGTTCCCTGTTATGTCCCCAGTGCCTAGAACATGCCACCTATTAATGAATGAATGAATGAATGAATGACACTACTGGATGAACAGGAGGGAGCTGCATGGGTGCCACTGCCAGGAAACCAACTCTGACCTCCTCCCAGATGAAGGCGGACTCGCTTTTAAACATCCCCAGGATTTTGCTTCGGGTATCTTGGCATTTTCCCCTCTGCTTTCTTCTTCTCTTTCATTCATTATTTGTAGCGCCCAGGCTACAACACTTCTCAAGGATTCGGGTGAGGGCCTGAGGATTGAAATAAAGAAAAAAGACAGCGGGTCATTCTTGCAAGGAGAATGCCATTTATTGCAACAAGAAAGGAGCATTATATACCAGTTAGCAGGCGCGGTGGAAAACTACCAAGGTCAGAAGTTGATGTTCCCAGGCCCCTCTGGCAATAAGGATGGGAGGATAACAGGAACTTGCTTTCAGGCAATAAGGATGGGTGGATGACAGGAACCTGCATTCAGGCCTCATTGGAAGGAGGGGAACAAGAGATATATGTTAGATAAGCTCCTAGTCATAAGCTGGTCAGCAGATCCCTATAGGGGGAGGATCCAACAATTTCCCCTTTTTTATATACATAAAAATGAGCATCTGTCTTAGGTTGTCTGGGACATCAACATCTGCTTTACCCATCATTGAAAAGCCTTCCCAGGCCCTGTAGTCCCTGTCTTAGGTTAGCAGATGTCCCCTGAGTCTTACCTATCATTGATTGCTCATCTGTCTTGCAGGCTCAGCCAGGCCTGCACTGAGGGGCTATCTGCGCCTAGGAAAGCATGATCTGCTTTGCATGAAAATGGTGCTGGGCTTGTGGCCTTCCTGTGTGCGGCAAAGGCAGACTAGGGCTAAAACTGTGCTGTCCAGGGCCATAATCCCAAGGGCTAGCGACCCACTCCATTCCTTAAGTAATTGACCTGTCAGTTGCAGTTCCTTTAAGAGGGAGTCTTCCGAAAGGGGAGGCATCCTGGTCTCAGAAATCTTAATTTGGGAAAATTAAGAGAGAAATTTGCTGATTTAGATTTAAAGTACTAGAGAAATGATCTTATTTTGGGAACTTAAGGTAGAGGCAACCTCCCCTGAGAGTTTATCCAGCGTGCCTGCCGTGGCAATTGGCTAAAAGATAGCAAAGCCAGAACTGTAGCTGCCGTGGTGGCAGTCGCAATAGCGGCCGCAATGGCCACCATGATGTCAAAGTCTGTCTCATGTCGTGTAAGGATGAGCTGATTCTCTCCTGAGTACTCCACTGGCAAAGGCACGAAACCAGGAGCACGGACCACCAAAGTTGGTATTTTACCACTCCAACAGCTTCTCAGGCAGCATTCTGGCATCAGGACAGGTGGGTTCCTCAAGAAGGCCCAATCGGTCTTCTGATGGCTGGTGTGTCAAATACTGAGAAGGGGCTTTTGCCACTCATCACGGTCCATACTAGTGTCCAGTTGTTTTAAATGGGTCCTTTTTTCCCCAAAGGGAAAAAATGGCAAAATGAATTGTCTTTCAAGGTGTGTCAAGGGCAAATTGCTAGTCGCCCAGTTCTATGACGGCTCCAGGATGAAAATTCACAGGTTTGGGAAGTCGATGCAGTAGGCCTGTTGAGGAACTGGAAATCTTCAACTGACTGTTTCAAGGGTCAGGAACACTGGTTCAGCGGATCTCACTCAAACTGGCTTAGGCAGGCTCCCACAGTCTCAGGCCCAGTTTTTCTCTGCTCTACGCATCTCAAACATTCTGGCAGCCATCGAACTTTTTTCCTGCAAGAAAACACAAATGCTCCCTTGACCCCAAGTTAGGCAGAATTGGGTCTTCTCCACTGTCTAGTGCATGGATGTCTCCGTTTGACCTGAGTGAAAGTCACTCGAGTTCCATCACGCCAGAATCTGTCTGCAGCAGATTGTTCATTGGCATCCACATTTAAAAAAATTTAAAATGAGGAGTGCATGATTTAATGAATCATGTGGAGACTGGGGACATTACTCCCCCCTGTTTTTATTTTAAGAAGTTACATTTTCAAGGAGCCATGAGCATGCACCATAATTCCTTGTCCTTGGGGATTATAAGGAATAACTGTTTTGTGCTGAATTTTCTATTGAGTACAAAATAGATGAATGTCCTATTAGAATATCCAGACCTATTGTCTGTTCTTTATCACTTTTGGAACTCCCATGTAAGCAAAACATTTTAAGCAGTGACTTATCACATGCTTGGTGACTTTTCTAGTTTGTGCATTGGCCAGCAAGAAACCTGAAAACATATCAACCACCACCTGCACATATTTTAACTTGTCAAATTCTGCAATATGAGTAAATGAATTACATTTCAAATTTGCTCAATGGTCTAACCTGCTCATTGCCAGTTCCTGTGTATTGAACTGTCTCTATTACCTGAAGAGCTTTAAAAACATAATGATTACCAGTACACAAATCAAATGGATCATTTACTATAAGTTGAAAAAACCATTGTGACAGCCTGTAACTCGACTATCTGAACTGAAGCGGAGTTGTTTGC